ACAAACTGATTACAAATCCAGAAGAACTAGAAAATACTGCTTAGAAGCTTAGAATCCTAATTATCAGTTGGGGAGAAATCTTTTTTAAAAATCTTGCAAACAGTTCTTCAAAGTATGTGAGAAACATAATTTATAAAAGGGCTGACTTAGCATGCCAGTTCAGATTTTTTGAGTAAACATTTTTTTCAGAATTTTTTTTTTGAAACTGTAATCAAAAATACTTAACATTTGTTAAAAAGATGCTTTGCAGAATAAAAAGGAGAAAAAAGTTTCATTCAAAGTAATGGTATCTTAAAACTAATTGCTTTCAAACACTGTATCTTCCTGTAGAAGTAATAATTTAGTAACTACACTGTCTGTAAATATTTGTTTTGTCTGGCACTACTGTAAATTCTGCTTTTACACAGAAACTTTTTGTTTATTGTAGATCAAAATGAAAACTGCAACATCTCGCAGAATTTGTTTTGATTGGCCACTCTTTGAAAACTAAACTGCCCAAAATGAAAGTGCAATATTATGTATTTTTAAGAGAAGGTAATAGAAGGTAGAATTCTAATGTTTTTCAGAATACAAGTAATGCAATTAGTATGCAATATAAAAAAAATAAAGTTATTGTTAACCTTGTGGCCTGTTGTTAACTCAAACTAAAATTAAATATAAATATTACGCCTTTTGTTGTTGTTCAGTAGTGTCTGACTCTTCATGACCCCATTTGGAGTTTTCTTGACAAAGAGATATGAGTGGTTTGTCATTTCCTTTTCAGACTCATTTAACTGATGAGGAGCTGAGACAAACAAAGTTAAATGACATGCCCAGGCTTACACAACTAATAAGGGAGGCCAGATTTGAACTCCTGAAGATGAGTCTTCCTGACTCGAGGCCCAGCAATTCTGTCCACTCACTGCACCACCTAACTGCCTAATATTATGCCTACATAATTTCAAAATGTGCTTTCTTAGGAAAATAAATTATTAGATTGTTAACAGTCAATTAATTTCATAAGTTTTTAAGGAAAAAACATCTCTTAAATATGCGATAGTCATTTTTGCCCTAGGACCCTGATATGTTTTTTATGGTTTCTTGAAAGGTTTACACTTTTTGAATTGGAAAATTTTTTCATAATTACATACATGAAAATATTTTTAAGATTATTCTTTTGTAGGTAATATAAAATAGGATAATTCAGATTAGAGCAAAGTAAGGATTGGTTTATATTTATTACTATGAATACCTTACTTAGATCAAAGGTGTTAAGTCATACAACTCTTAAATCTGCTCATTCAGTTCTTCATACATGCCATTTAGGAGTAGCTATGACATGTAGAGCAATATTCTTAGAATCCAAAATTCTTGCACCGTGCTGTAAAGCAGAATTCTCACTCTTTTGGAAGGTGAGAGAGTTGGTAAACAAACCTTATAATTCTTTATTCCTCCTTGGTAAGATATACAGATCAGTTCAGTAGTAAAACTACTTTAAGTACATAACATTGGTCTAGAAGGTATGAAATGCCCCTTGAATAAAAAAGAATTAAGGGAATCTTGGAGCAAAACAAGACATTAAGTAATTTTTAAGGCTGACCCTCTATCCACTAATGCCTTATTAAAATTTATCTACAGGAAAAAAATTAGCCCAATCAAATGGTCCCCTATGTGCCGTTTCAGACTGTTAGACTTTACGGTTTTTTGTATGTAGGAGATAAAGCCCAAGTGAAGCACTCTATGTTTGGATTTTTCTGTGTCCCAGTCCTAATAACTAGTAATATAATATTTGAAAACCAACTTTGTAGCAGTGCATTAGCATTTCATTCTAACACATTTTAGTTGCATTGGGTTTTTTTGCTTATACTTTTATAATCAATTAGTAATACATATATATATTCGTTAGATAAAAAAAATGAAGTGTTGGGGTAGATAAAAACTATTCCTACCAATAAAAAACTTGTTCAACATAGCAGTTAAATATTCCATTTTATTAATCAGCACAGTAAATATACTATGAGATGTAGAAAATATAAGCATAATAAAAAGAATATGCTACTGTGTGAGAAAACATAGCAACACATTATTTGCAAGAAGCAAATGTGTTTATTGCATTTATAGCAAAAATGTTTACTGAAGTATCAAAGTATTACTAGGTACATTGAATATTCAGATGGATGTGATCTCATCAACATAAATGTATCCTCCAAAGTGCATATCACACCCAAGCCTGTCTATCCTATGAGATTCTTATTCGTGTCTTCCCACATGTTTACCAGAGTGGGTCCATGTGCAGAGAGTATTCCTCATCTTTATATCACAGATAGTGGTGGAGCACTGGACTCTGTACTATTTATTCCTTACTCTTTCATTTGTGTTTTCTTTCATGACATCCTTTTATTCAGTTCTTCATAGTTATTTGTTGTGTTACAGCCTACTTACTCACCACACTCTTTTCCATGGCCCTCTAGTGGTACTTAAAATTTTTCAGACTAGTGTTCTGTGGGTCCCCAGCTGTAAACAGCACCACCAGTAAAGTATTGATATTAAAAAGAAGAGCCTTATTTTCTAGGAGAAGTCTGGAGTTGTTGAAGGAGCTTTGCAAATTCCTGAAGGCAATTCACCTTGCTTCCTCTTTCATTTAATTTTGATCTCAAGTAGTCCATCAAGATATACATATTAATGTATGTTATCCACCCAACAGCAACATTAATTTGTTGGCTATTGTGGTGTTGCAAGATTCAGAACCATCTAATATTATCTGGAAATGAGTAAGGTTTTTTGTTTGTTTGTTTTTTTTAATCAGAGAGGAGCTTGAGATCGTTAGCACTGTACAATTCCCCAAATGTAATCCAGCCTAGGCTCTTCCTCCTATTCAATTCTGGACCCTGCTCATTGCCCTACTATGGCACCAATCCTAAGTATGTGTATTCGGCTAGCCTATAACCCAATGGGACTAATTATTCATATGCACATAGATGTGGAAAAGACATTTTCCATTTATTTTAGTTTTTCACTTAGAGTTGTTATGCTAACTTCTTGAGTGATCAGGGATCTTGCTAAGGAGCCCCCATAATGTTCTGGGATTTGGTAGAATCAGTATTTTATGGTCTGAAAATAGAATTTCTAGGACCTCACCAAAAGAAATTCTTTCATTTGGACCCTGTGCAGGACCCTCATTACAACAGTGGCAAAAAGTTTTCATGAGCATACATCTTATACTTTGCAACATTGTGCAAGTCACTTCACCTCTCAGGTCCTCAATTTCCTGGTCTGTAAAATGAGTTCCTTCCTGCCATAAATCTGATCTGATCTGACTTGTACATTTCACTTGATATTGATAATCCAAGAGTCACCTAGTTCTCTAGTTAAATTTGTCAAGGAATTTTATATGATCTTATGTAAGAGTTTTTTAAAAACTGTTTTTACTCCACCAGTTAAAAACGAATGTGTAATCCATAGAATGCCAGATCTTGGATTTTCTCCACGCTTCATTCAATCATGAGACTAGAGTTGTGGTCTGCAGAAAATAATTTGCTAAAGCTTGCCTGTTCCCTTATGTTTTCAACAAGGAAACCTTCAGCATGCATATGGCATAGTTCTCATTATTAATAAAAATGAGAAAGACATGGGTCAATAGTTAACTCTTCTTGACCACCTTTTTTTTTTTTAGTAACATCCTTGGTTTGGGAGTTTGCTTTTCAGTATAGTATTCCTCTCCCTGAATTAACTTACAAAACAGTCACTCTTAGCTTTTCAGAGTGTGTTACCTCTGCACAGATTTCCTTGGTGTTGACTGGTCCAGCCATCCTTCCCAATGTCAATTTTTTCAGATGTGCAAAACTAAAATTTTAAAGTTAGTCCTTAATTTGTGCTTCTGAGTCATTTGGCTGAACAAGTCTTTCTGTTGGCAGAAAACAAGATGGTTTATCTACCAGGGGTGGGGAACCTTCCACTTCGAGGCCACACATGTGGCCTTCTAGGAACTTGGATGTGGCCTTTTGACTGAGTCCAAGTTTTACAGAAGTATTCCTTTTATTAAGGGGATTTGTTCTGTGAAGTTTGGATTCAGTCAAAGGGGTACACTTAAGGACCTAGCAGGCCACATGTGGCCTCAAGGCTGCAGGTTCCCCACCCGGATACTCTTCTAAAGTAACCTAAGACAGTAAATACATATGGCAAGACAGCCTTGTTCCATCAGTCAAATTAAATGTATCCAATAAATTTTTAGACCTTGTAGTAGAAGCGATTGCTTGTGGGGAGCTTTTGAGTTTAGTTTAGAAAACAAGTTTAACATGCAAAACGCTTATAAAAAGATTAAATAATAAATTGGTGAAATTAAAAGGAGAAAACAGAAACTGAAACTGCAGTGAAGAGGCAAGGCCTCGTAGAGAGGCTGAGACTTGAGCTAGTTGGATTGGTTAGACCTTCCCGAGGTGGGAAGTTGGGGAGATATTTAGAAACGGTAATGAAAAAAGAGGTAGCAATCACTATGTACATTCATTTCTGAAAACAGCTTGACTGGAGTGTAACTTTGTGGAAAGTAGGGTTAGGTACAGTGTAGCAAGGTCATAAAGGACCTTGAAAACTAGACAAGGGAGAGTTTGGATTTGATTTAATAGGAAAATGGGGAAACACTAGGTTCTTGAGCACTTAAGTATGAAAGAAAGCAGTGTTTCTGGAATACTAGTTTGGCAATAAAAAAAGATTAAAATAGGGAGAAAGCGTAGAAACCGTAAGAGGCTGTTGAATTAAGCCAGGTGTGAAGTGATAACGATCTTTCTCAAGACAGTAGGAGTAGGAATGGAAAAACCAAGGGTGAATCAAGCCCCCTTTACACCCCAAATTTCTGAATAACCGAAGGCTGTCCAACCCTCGGCGAATGGCTCTGTAACTTAAAGCAAAATTCAGTACCACAAAAATTGAAGTGAGAAAAAAATTTTTTTTGAAAAAGTATTTCTTTGGGTTCTGTAGCCCAGAGTAATTTCCTTTTCCAGGATTCGCGGCAATGTGAACTTGACCTGTGGAAAAACAGCCGTTTTCGGGCTGTCCCACCAAGGGAGGATGGGGTCAGGGTGCCCCGAGGTCCTTCCCGCCGTCAGATCAAATGCCTCTGCGATTCCGATCCAAAGCCCTAGGTCGGGATCGAGCCAGGCCTCCGAGGGAACCCCTGCACCCCGCCGCCACCCGCCCAGTTATTTCCAAAGATCTGCCGGAGGGCCAGAAGAAGCGCACAGATCGCCCCGAGGTGGTGGCAGGCCGCGCGTGCGCGCTCCCGACAGCACGCGATAGCCGCCTTCGTGCCGGGCGCGCGTTGGTGCCAGGCGCGGTGCGGGTGGGGGCGGAGTCTCGGGCCCGGCTCGCGCTCGATGCAACGGCCGCCGCGGGCGCGGGGAGCGCTGGGAGAGGAGCAGGAGAGGGCGGGGCGCGGCGGGGCGGAGCGGGGCTGCGCTATTGACTGTCAATCAGCACTGCAGTTTTTTTTTTTTAATTCTCCTGTCTCTGCGGCTGACGCGGGGAAAAGATCAAGTCGGTGTAGTCTGTAAGCTGTGGGATAACATTGCCAACATTTTTATCTCCATTCGCCCACGTTTTTGTTTAGTATTTTCCACAAAGATTCCGAACCTTCGCGCATCATTTTCTATGTTCCACAGAACAAAGAACGGCCCACATCACCTTGCTTTTAAATAACCCCTGAAACCTGTATAATTTTTTTTTTAATGGTTAAATAACCCGTGCAATGATTGCCCAAAATCTAGGCCTAGGCCTCCTTGGTTGCTGATGGTTGATGGTTGTCCCTCAGCAGCCAGCTTCAAATCCTGCTCCAATACGGCGGGGGGTGGGGGGAGGGTACCCTGGGGTTACCGTGTCACCCTCCCTGAGCTTCACAGGGTCAGGTCTCTCATCTCTAAAAATGAGGGTGTTGGACCAGATAAGCTCCAAGATCCCTCTCAGAACGCAGTCTCATTTTAAAAAATTGTTTTATATTTCAATTCCAGAAGGAAAAAAAATTGTTTTCTAGATAGGAGGTGTTTGAACAGTTATCTGACTTATGATTTAAAAGGCTTACTAGTAGTGGACTTTGTCAACTAGGCAATCTGTGATTTTATTACAGGATTTCTAGCTCTTCCGTCATTCATTTCCTCTTTTTGATAAAAGAAAAATCAACTTAAGCATGTCTAACCTAAAGCTGAAAGAGGCAGCCCTTATCTACCTTGACAGGAGTGGAGGCCTTCAGAAATTTATAGATGATTGCAAGCACTATAATGGTATATTCATCAAAAACAATTTTTAATGGTTTTTTAGACTGAATACTTCAAAATACACTGTGTGATGATGATGATGATTATTGAATTGATGTTTATTTACAGATTCAAAGCAAAGTTATGCTGTATATCGGTTCAATATTTCAATAAATCCTTCTGACATTGTTGAACTGGATGCAGTTCTTGGAAATCATATTTTACACAACCTTTGAAAGCTGCTCAACTTTTTCAATCAGTAAGCTAAATTTTTTTTTATTGCTTTTTGGTGAGGCAATCGGGGTTAAGTGACTTGCCCAGGATCACACAGGTAGTGTCAAATGTCTGAGTTCACATTTGAACTCAGGTCCTCCTGACTCTAACACCAGAGTTCTATCCACTGTGCCACCTACCTGCCCCTTAAAGACAATTTTTGTTGAATCAATTTTTTCTTTGTAAAATTTTTGTTTTCAATTGCAGGTTTGTTTTGTTGCTGTTAAAACTCTTTGCTTAATCAAACAGTTACAGACTGAAACTCAAGTAAGTTTTTTTTTAATATTTAACAGAAACAAAGCTAAAATGCAATAGTTTTAAAATAGCACTTACAGAAATGTCTGGTCCCATTTCCAGATTTTGTTAAAATCACTATTTTTCTCAAAACTCAATGTAATATTTTACAATTATATATTTTATTTTCTGCTATCTTAAAATTTTAATTCATATATGTTTTAATATGCAGTTTTATTAATATAGTTTTCATTTTTTAATCAGATTAATATAGTGCTGAAATTAACACATTTGCCTCTTCTGCCAAGTTATGCGCTTGACCTTTGTGAGTTTCCATTTGATTACCTCTCTCAGAGGTTTTATATGGTACAAGGAATAATAATTGCAATGACAACAGTAACTAAATATACACAAGGAGCAAGATTCCTTTGTTCAGATGAAACATGTCCTCTTTCTGAAGGTACAGTATTCAAAATAAGGAGCTAAGCACTAGTTAAGTTTAGATCATATTATGTCGTTGGAGTAGCAATGTCTTATAGTAAGATAAAAGTGCTGGTTTTGAAGTCAGGAGTCACACACATAGTGTGACCCGTTTGGCCAGGAGTAAATCACTAACTTCTTTGATCTTCCATTTCCTCAATTATAAAACAGGAATAATGAAGATAACAGCACTTGCATTATTACTTAGCTCACGGGGTTATTGTAAAGAGAATGCATATAAATTTTAAAGTGCTATATAAATGTGAATGTTTGGGTATTTTTGGACCAGCCGTCTAATTTCTTGGGTATGTTGATGTTTAGTTGATTCAGTTGTGTCTGACTCTTCATGACCTTATCTGGGGTTTTCATGGCAAAGATACTGGAGCGCTTTGCTATTTCCTTCTCTTCAGTATAGAGAACTCCAAATAAGGAAACTGTGCTACCTGTGTTTACAACACTGAGAAGTTAATAACTTACTCATGAACTCACAGCTAGTATTCATTTGTCAGAGGCTGGACTTGAACTCAGGCTTTCCTAACTTTAAGACTATAATGACTATCTGCACTAATATGTGGTCCATCAGTTTATTAATTGTTATTAGGAATGAAGATAGTGAATTTCAGCATGCCTCAGTGCTCTTTTTTCAGTAGGTACATGTGCAAGAGCAGACAGGATCACATTCTGAAAACTTCATAAAGATTTTAATAATTTTATTTGTTCCTCATTGTCAAAATCATGTCCTCTCACTAATTTCTACTTATAAATTTATTTTGTATGATCCAAAGATGCATTTTTTTACATGTTCAAAAAGCATTGAATGTGTATCTGCCTAACAAATAAATCATGATATACAATACAGAAAGAGAGTAGTCTAGACTAGAGCATACAGAAGGCTTGCTGGATTGAAATCAACAGTTTTCCATAGAAAAGAAAAGCTATTTCTAAAAGCTTGTTCTCTCTCAATACCCTCCCTGGTTAATCTTAGAGGGAAGAATACAGGAGATTTGAAAGCTAAGGATCTTCCTTCCATATATATCTACCTAGACCCCAAAGAGGAAATAGGCCCCAATAGTAAATTAGTAAATAGTAAACAAAATAGTAAACCTCAGTGCCACACTAAAACTTTAGGTAATTAAAATAAAAGTAAGGGTTTTACTTTGTCTTGTTTAATCAGCAGCTGCAACAAAAATACCATTGTATGACTATCAGCTCCCTACATGCAATAGGGCAAATTTAACATAAATTTTGAATGATTATGGATAAATTTCTAAGCCCAAAAACAGACTTAATTTATGTTTTCTTTCAGGATTTCAGTATATAAGAGTGCATGTGCCTGGTGCCACAGAATCTACAACAGTGAGAAATGATTTCTCATGTAAGCTGTGTAACTCCCCACTTCAAGAAGACAGGAAGTTTAGAGTACTTGGTGGTAAAAATATAATTTTTAATTTTTGAATAATAACATTTAAAACATATTTCATTACTTTAAACTTATTGGTGTCAAAATTAAGTTTGAAATATATTCCAATAATAACTGTGTTCTTTGTGTTAAGATAAACAGATAGCTGAAATAATTACAGCAAAGTCACTTATTGCTTTTCAAGGATGTCCCAATAATCAACCAGTGAGATTTCAGTCTCTTACAGTTTTCCTAAGAGGTAAGTAAGCTTATTTTGAACTTAAAAAAAAACCCTATAAAACAAATAACTAAGTTGCTTAAAGGTCCTTATACTACTTGGGTGTTTCTGTTTTTTAAAAAAACTTGTAAATTTAAGTTTTCTTAAAATTGAATTCTTCTACTCCTTGTAAACCTTCATTGGGCTTTGTTCTGTAGTTTTACAATCACCCAAACTTCTTGTAGAATGAGGAATCAGAGTAATTATTTCACTTTTTTATCCTCCTGGGTCAGAGTTTTATTGAATATTCAATATTTGCTCCTTCAAATTAGTGCTTCAATATAAATAAATACTAAAGTTCATTAGCAAACTTTTTTTACCTTCTCTCATTTATAGACAGTAAAATAAATAAAATCATCATTCTTCATAGCTAGTTCACCATAAATTGGTACTAATTCTGAATGTCTTAGGTATATGATATTTACAAAGTTCATTTAATGAATAAATCTTTTTTATTTACTTCATAATTTTAGATGAATTAAGCAATAAAATCAAAATAGGAAATGAATATATAATTGTTGGAATTCCAACTTGTGTTAAAAACTCTTCACAAAACGTTGTTTGTATAGAGGCCAACAGCATAAATTTGTGCAGTCCGAAAGGTAAGAAAAATGTCATTGTCATAAATTTTTTAAATATTTCAATCGATAAATATTTATTGAATTTTTACTATGGTAAAAGCATTAAAGTTCTATTCTAAGACTTCATCATAGCATAAATGTAGTATTCTTAATAGAAATTCCAACAGAGCATAAGATGCGATAGGCCCTGCCAAGCTGAGAAAGCTTTCCATACAGTCTTGGCCAGAGATTCTGTAATTCTTTTCAAAGGACCAGTCTAATTAAATTCAGGGAGATTCATCAGCAGAGGGTCACCAGGTAATTCATTTTTAGCCACAAAAACTCATGAGGACGGTTTATTAAGCTGTACAAGCCTTAAAAATCTCTGCAAAATTTCTATGCTTTTAGAAAATTGCTATGGATTTAGGAGACAGGCTTGGAATTAGAATAAATACTGGGTACTCCACACAAATTAAATCATGGATCAAAGTATTAAAGAAACTAAAATAACATAATAAAACTTCATCAACACCTGAATTATAATATATCACTTCCTCCAAGAAGCAAAAAAGTATACTTATAAAAAAATTTACCTTATAAGCCTTGCCAATAGAATTTTAAAATATATTGTTATTATACTTTTTCCTTTATCTTACCAAAAAGGTTAGAAAAAGTCAGGGAGAGAAGAGTTTACCTTTTCAGGAGACTGTCTAGGTAAATCATAGAAACACTGCAAAACCTCATCACTCTTTAACAGAACTTTTCTAATTCAATCCAATTCAACTAGCATTTATGAAGCACCTACTAAATGCAAGGCACTGTGCTGAGTACTGGAGATACAAAACCAAAATAAAAAACAGTCCCTGCCTTTTGACAAGTGATGGACTAGAAGTGCAGAATGAGACATACTGTGTCAGACAGCTAATATGTGAATTTATTTTGTTTGGTTATGTTTGTTACAAATGAGAACTTAGAGAAGTATGGTAGGGATAGTTGGGGGAGAACTTGGTGGTAATTACAGTGATGCTGAAGAGAAAAGAACATCAATGGAACATTTTTAAAATACACAGAACAGAGCAGGAAGTTCAGAAGGGAGATAAAGACAAACAGGATAATTTTGTTACTGTGGTTTTAAATCTAATATTAATTTTCTTTTAAACTATAAAAGAGAAGTTCATGATTTCTTATATAATATTCTTTCTTTTCTTTGTATGGTGAAATATGGATATTTGTTGATATTTGTCAAGTTCTTAATAAAAAAAATGTAAAACAAAAACTGTCTCTGACCTCAAGAAGCCTACATTCTCCTGGAGAATTCTAATGGAATTTTCTACCCTTCCTGTAGAAGCACTGGAACTTGGAGGGGTATTTGCCATTCTGCAGCACAAATCAGAAGTAAGATAAGTATCTTGCTTCAAATACCTGAACGAAGGACACTAGGTTAGAGAAGCAACAAGATGGGATCTGAAATCCAGCAGGGAGAAAAGGTAACTAATTAGGTTTAAATAAAGTCTTGCTATTAATTAGATGTCTGCTTAAAACCTCTGGCAGACCACAACTGAGAGTAGCTTCTTTTTACATTAGACCTTGGCAAGAATCTAATTTACGGTCAGAGGTGGCAGAATGAAATAGCATGTCACAAGGCAAAGAGGGATCAACTAGCATCAATCAACTTGCATTTATTAAGCACTTACTATATGCCAAGCACCTGTACTACAAAGTCCTCAAAGCAGGAAGTAGACAAACAGGCCCTTGTCCGTGCAGAGAACTACCAGGAACTCAACATAGAGCTGAGAGTCTTGTTTCTAGCAAGTATGGGCAAAGGCAATTTTTCTGACTTGAAGAGAGTATTTTATATGCTTCTTGCCAATGACAAGTAACAAAACAAATTGATGTTTCCTCCTAGAGGGAAAGCTAAATGAGCGAAAGAAGCACTGCTCTACTCTCCAGATTATTAGTGAGAATGAAGCATTACTTAAAAGAATTTAGAAATGTTCTGAATCACTAATATTAAAAGGAATGCAAATCAAAACAATCCTGAGATTTTACTTCATACCCTACAAACTGGCAAAGATGACAAAAGACGGGAATAGTCAATACTGGCAGGGATGTTGGAAGATAGGCACACTACTGCATTGTTGGTAGAGCTGTCAATAAACACAACCATTTTGGAAAGCATTTAGTCAAATGCTTTTAGTCAAGTGCAAACAAAGTCACTAAAATGCCTATACCCTTTGACCCAGAAATTCCACTGCTAGGCATATATCCCAAACAGGTCATTGACAAAAAGGCTCTGTGTGTACTAATATATTGACAACGGTACTTTTCTGGGGTAGCAAAGAACTGGATACAAAGTTGATGCCCATTGATTGGGGAATGGACAAGCAAATTGTGATACATGAATGTAATGGAATGTTACTATGCTGTAAAAAATTATGAATGTGATGAATACATCTGAGTATTATCAAGATTTACACAAACTGATACCAAGTGAAATAAGCAGAGGGCAGGCAAGAAAATTATATAAGCAGTGACTACAACAATGTAACTGGAAAGAACTGCAAAAAAAATCGAAATTCAAAGTTGCAAAATTACAATGAACAAGCAAGGATTGAAAAAAGAGATATGAAGACCTCCCCAACCCAGTCTTTGCAGAATTAAGAGATCTACGTGTGATACATGTTTTACACATTTTCTGACTTTTTAAAAATATATTGATTGGTTATACTGCTTCATTTCTATTTTTGTCTTTAAAAATATTTATTATAAGAGATGGCTCTCTGAGAGGGGGAGGGAAAGATGTTGGGGAAATTATGGTGATTTAAAAAAACAAAAGATCAATAAAGACTTTTTGTTAATTTAAAAAGAATAGGGAACATATCAGAGACAGAAAAATAAAAATAAAATTAATAGACAAAAGGGAATCCTATCTAGTGTGAAGAGGTTGGAAGGTTGATGAATGTAACAAGAATGACCAATGAACATTTGAAGCTATATAATAGATAAAAGTCTCCTTAAGTCACAGGATCATAGAGTTAGAGTTTGAAGGGACTTCATAGGCCAACTAATCTAACCCTTCATTTTACAGGTGAGGAAACTGAGTCCCAGATAGGTTAAGTAACTTACTCAAGGACTCATAGGCAGTAAGCAGCAGAGATGAAATTTGAACCCAAATTCTCTGACTCAGTACCAATATCCTTTGTACTGTACCACACCACATCCCTAGCAGAGCTAGACCCTCCGTGGAAGAAGTAACTCTTTTTTATGAACAATTGATACAGATTTTTAGGAGCCACCAGAAGAGGTCATCCAATAATCAAAACAGACAACAGTATTGATGGTTGGTAACTTCCTGCTGAGGACTACCAAGGCACCTATTATTTACATACACACACACACAGGGAAAGAGAGAGAGAGAGAGAGAGAGAGAGAGAGAGAGAGAGAGAGAGAGAGAGAGAGAGTAACTGAGGGAGAGGCATTAACCATTTGGGGTTTCAACCAATAATCAGATAAGCACAGGAGCCCTGGGAGTGGCAGCACCTTCCACACCACCAGATGTACTGCCAACCCAGCCCTCATAGACATCATCTAGGGAAGCAACTCCTGTAAAAAGGGGCCAGCCATCCCCATTAAGACCTTCTGTTTAGTCAATAAATATTGACTACATACACACTATTTCTTTGCTTTGAAAGGTAACAGTTGAATTCAATCAAATGATTGTTACTGCAAAGGCCAGCTTCCATTTTCTTTCTCTTAAATGTAACATATGAGCCAGTTCCAAAAAAAAAAAAGAGTAAGCTATTTAATAAATACAGTAGAAATTTTCAGAGATGATTTAAGTAACTAAGGCATGGGTCAACAACCTATAGCTTGGTGCCAAAAATGACAAGTTGTACCAGGTCTAAGGCTTATTTTCAGAGACTGGAAAGGCGATTAATCTGTCTTATTCATTGTCAACTGTTTAGTAGCAAGTGTTTTCTAAATGGATAGTTGTGAGTTAGACCTGCCAGCACACCAAAGGAATGAAAGATAGCCTGTGAAAGTAAAATGTATTATATCATAATGAAGTTTATTAAAAGATACTTGGAGTTACCAGAAACCATGAATAATAAGGTTAAGAATGTGGCTGCTGTTAGAGCTCTGGCCTTGGAGAAAGGGGGACCTGAGTTCAAATCCGACCTCAGACACTTGATACTTACTAGCTGACCCTGGGCAAGTCACTTAACCCCAATTGCCTCACAAAAAAAAGAATGTGGCTGCTGTCTCTCAGTACTACCCTGTATAAGAAGTTATCCTATATGATCTGTGAATTTCCCGTGCCCTATGCCAGATGATGACTCAGTCCATGTGAAGAACATGTAGACCCAGTTTGTAGGATGGCAAAATGGCTTCCCAGCTTTCCCCTTATAAAGCAGAAAAAAGACCTTTCTGACTCATGTTAGTGATGCTTCATGAATTTCATTGTTTTGCAGAGATTCTAGGGCAGTGACTGATGGGGAAGTAAGGTGTTATGTGTTGATTCTGTTCCCAAATCTATTCTTTGGAATTTGAGCATTCTAGATGATTGAGAGGTTTAAATGGGGCAAAATCTGGCTAATCCTGTACCTGTCCTTGAAGATATGTTATTCATTGCTTAGAATGGGGCCAATTCATAGCATTGGGTGAGATCTATAAGACATTGCTTTTCTGTATAATTCCAAAGCTGAGGGCATCAAATGGCAACAATTTTTTTTTAAAGTGCCATATAAGTTTGTCCATGATCTAAATTTCTTAACTGCCCTGAGTCAGTCTCCAAACGTTAAAAGTGTATTATCCATAAAGGGTGAGAAAACAGGTTAACACTTAGTACTTAATATATATTGGTCTATCTCTCATCCATGAAGTGAATCATCAGACAAGTACAGAGGAACTAAAAAACGTTTCTGCTACATGAAGGACAATATTTAATGATATACATCCTGTCAATGCCATTCTGACTATTTGTGACAGTCTTTGCTAGCAGCCCACCAGAATATTCACTTGCTATCCCATTCACCACTTTCTAGAATCAGTACAAGTTCAGCATTCTTCCTTATCCTGCACATCAGAACAAAAGGCTGTAGAACTTACATTACTTTTTATACTTTGTTGACCTCAGAAATAGGGTATGGTTTACAGTGCAGAAGTGCTTAATTGTGGTAGATGCCGATAGAAGTGACTTTTGTCTCTAGCCTTTCCTGGCCAGTCCATCAATCATTTCCAACTACTTTGAACCATAGTGGCTTTCTCAACTTCATCCTCTGCCTTCTCTGTATCTTCATAAATGCAGTTTAAATAGCCATTGCCTCCCCACTATTTGGAAACAAATAAGCTATAGAAATATTAGTAAGTAATATAGGTGTTTGAGCTGGAAGAACCTAGATATCATCTGGTACAACTTCCTCATTTTTAAAAATTAAAAAACAGAGACCCAGAAAATACGTGACTTTCCTCAAGTCTAATGGGCAGTAAGAGAAGCAGGATTTGAACCCATATCCTCTGACTCCAAATGCAGTTTTTTCCACTATACCACGTTGCCTGTTTTCTCCTTTTATTCTAATTATATGTATCACTGGTTCAGAAGAAAGAAATAGTTGCTTGTTAAATAGTAAATGATTTGGAAGAATTTTTCCCTCTAAGTACCTAACACTAACTTTCACTCTAGGGGAGGAGTTTGCAAATTGAGTAGGATTTGGTCTTATGTATATTAAGTAATTTGATATTTTCTGATAAAAAATATTTTAAGTAGAGGGTAATATTTTATTAATCAAATATATATGTAAGAGTGAGGGTCTACCCCTATTCCAATTATCACAGAAGGCCCAGATATCTCAGTTAAATTTTATCAAAAGTAAACTGGGTAAGAATAGTTCCTTAATTATCTTGAAAAGATCACTGGGACGTTGGGTCACTTGATGAAAGCAGATAATGCCACACAGAGAATATCTTGTGATTGGTTGAAAAGAATTAGCCATGTTGTAGGTAGGTAGTGCAGTGAATGGTGGAAAAAAGCTGCTGTTCAGTCATGTCCAACTCATCATGACTCCATGGACCATACTGTCTATGGGGTTTTCTTGGCAAAGATACTGGAGAGGTTTGCCATTTTCTTCTTCAGTGAATTAAAGCAAACAAAGATTAAGTGACTTGCCCAGGGTCACACAGCTAGTGAGTGTCTGAGGCTGAATTTGAACTGAGGTCTTCCTACCTCCAGGCCCAGCGCTCTATTCACTGAACCATCTAGCTGCTCTAGAGTCAAGAAGAAAATAAGTACAAATATGGCCTTAGACACTCACTAACTGTGTGACCTTGGGCAAGTCACTTAAGCTCTGCCTCAGTTTCCTCAACTGTAAAATGGGGATAATAGCTACCTCACAGAGTCATCATGAGAATCAAATGAGATACTAATAAAGCACTTAACTTAGTGTCTGGAATACAGTAGGTGCCTAACAAATTGTTTCCTTCCTTCCATGCCTTGTGGGGCTATATACAAAAATAGCAAGCTAGTTTGGAGCTAGTCAGTACAGTGGTAGTCAAATCCAGTGATGAAAGACATCTGAAAGGGAGTTACAATTGGGAAAGGAACTAGTTTCCCTTCTTCTTCAACCTTGACCATGTGACAACCTTGTGATCTGTGAAAACTGGGAAGATCTAGAATGCACATCATTGCTGGTAGCAATGTCCATGGAACAACAATGGTTGATGGCAGCATATGTATCAAGAGCACAAAGATACAGCAGAGAAAAGCAGATTTAGGATTCTATAAGGCACTGAACCTCAGAGCGCAACAGAGAGATACACCTGAGAGGAACTTTATGAGGACTTCATAAAGGACTAAAACGATTTCCAAAAATCAAGAGTTATGAGTTTGCACTGAGGCCACATGGACTCCCTAAATTTGAGCCCACTCTGCTCAGGGACCTTGTCTGTGCAAGGGGATGGTGTGCCCACAGTTTGAGAGGAATATTTAACATTTCTTGCTATAGCTACTTAGTAAATAACCTTTCTGAAAGCTTATTAAGTTTGTCTGATAATCAGTGTGGAACACGCTAGTGGGGCTCATGAGCAAGAGCACAAGAAACTCTAGTAATCCTCAGGGCTACACTTAGAATCTTGAGTATGTGGGGCAGCCATGCTCTGGGGACTTGGCCTTCTAATAATACAAGTGGGAGTCGTGGAAGTAGACCTCCAAGGAGTTACTACATACACTATTAGAGGATTGCATTTAACGTTTCATCGACATCTTAAATGTGGTACATAGTGTAGTGGAAAGACTGCTACACCACCAGTGCAACCTTGGGCAGGTCACAACAGTTTCCTCATCTTTTAAATTAGGAGGTTGGGCTAGTCTTAAAGGTCTCTTCTACTTAAAGCATCTATAGTAATCTTATGTATTTGTTAGTACCATAGTAATATTTTTGAAATTTATATTTCATTAGTTCCACGATGTCTATTCCTTTTTTTGTTTCTGTTGACTATATGTGTAGTACATAAAGCGATCCATCCATATTCTACTTTCTCATTTTTATAAAATTGTGATTAAAAAATTATTTAAATGTCTATCAAGGGTATCTCTGATAAAAATATGAAAGAAAGGGGCAGCTAGGTGGTGCAGTGGAAAGAGAAGCGGCCCTGGAGTCAGGAGGACCTGAGTTCAAATGAGGCCTGAGACACATGATACTCACTAGCTGTGTGACCCTGAGCAAGTCACTTAACTCCAATTGCCTTGCAAAAAATAAAAATGTAAAAAAAAGTTTAAAAAAAATGTGAAAAGAGAATGGATAGGCTTTCCCAAACTATTTTCTAAGCCACACTACACTATTTGTTATATACATGTGCTACAATCCTTTGGCCTATTTAATTTCTTAAACCTGAGCCATATTTTCCAACATAGTTTTTCCATTCTACTCTATGCGTACCTTCACTTGAAGTCACCAGGCATCAAAGTAGATGCTGACAGTGTCCTAGGTAGCTTTTTTTTTTTTACAGAAGGCCTTTTATTGACTGTTATGACTTCATGGTTTGAGAAGCTACTGAATGAATTTCTGCCTGTACAAAGTATGCTAACTAATGGACCAGCTCCTTTGTGTGATTGGATTTATTTGTCACTTATTACATACTGAAACCACAAGTGCAATCTTCATTTTGGGAGATTCTTTTCTTGAATTAACATTTAAATTCAGTGCAATTTTTTGTAATCCTTTCTGCTTTCATATTGAGTTAATAAGTTTCCTTTGAAGCATAGACTATTTTAACTCATCCACATGTCAAAAGTTTAACAGGTTTGACTGGGCTAGCATTTGCTACTAAACGTTGAGGAATGGGTAGGAGAGACTGATCTGCAATCCTTGAAATTAGCTTCTCAAAACTAGGACACTTGGTTTGGAGGACTTTACTATGGTCTTCTATCATTTGCAGTGATATTTTTGTATCATCTATAGACATCTTCATGTTGCCCTTTTTGCCCATGATCATTGTGAGTTCCATAAGACAAGATAACCAAGTGTCTCATAAATGCAATTTCATAAAGACTTTGGATGGACAATGAAATTCCAGATCCTTTGTTTGCCTTTCCAAGGAGAACCTATGGGTCATTTTTCCATTTAGCTACATTCCACTTACTTCCTTTTGCCTTCTGGTTTCATCTTTTGTAAGACTATTGATATTGGTGTGGTTCAGTTTTTCAGATTGTATGTCAAGTCACTGGTCATTTGATAAAGATCTTGCAGACTGCCAAAAGGTAAATTAATATTTATAGACTGTCTGAAAAATATGTGATCCTTCCTGTCCTATCTTCCCTTTGCTGATACAATATTACTGTGACTCTGTAGAAGTTGAAAGGGGCCACACAGGACTGAGTGCCATTTTTAATTTTTTTCTTGATTTAATGGATTGCCTCTCCCAAAGTATTTATCACCTCGTGGCCAACTTATGGTGATGAATCTGTTTTCACACTCAGCCGGGTTGGTTCTCAAACAGAAGAGTCAGTCTGTTTTTAGCACTATATTCAAAGCATTGAAGTAAGGCTGTATGTAGAATTATATTCTTTAAGTTGAGAAAATCAGATTATTCTCTCATTTCTTTTCATTAATTCAAGAATACATGATTTCACCTTCTTCCACTGATACAGATTGCAACACCTTTATTTATGCCTTAGTAGGCATAGTGTTTTTTTTTTAATTTTTTAAGGGCTTTTAAGAGCCTTTATGGGCAAAAACAATTCTTTAACTGGTAGACAACCCTCTGCTAATGATCTTCCCAAACTCTGTAAGACTGGTCCTCTAACAACAGCCATGTCCATCCATTGTCAAAGCCTGTACATAAAGCACTTTCACCTTGGAGGGATCTGCCAAAACTTGGATTATCCTAGTACAGACTTCAAGGATCCATAGTCATCTCTACACTATAGTTTAACTTTGGAATGGAACTTGAGTGGCAGGTGCTTTTAACACATCAGATAAATTATACAATACCTATAGCTTATGCAATTTTCATGTCCTCACCTAATTTGCATTTTTTCCACAAGAAATAAAATCAGGTCATTATAGCCACAGCAATGAATCTTTCTTTTTACAAAAGGATTTATTAGAATTTCACATCAGCTAATTTTGTAATTTTGTGTAGTATTGGTACGAATGAATTAATAAATATGGTATCTTTCATGATATTTAAAACTTGGTACCAGTTTTAAATAGAATGCTCATAACACATTTTCATCATTTTAAAACACTATTTAATAGTTATGTTAATATTTACTTTCAGCTCCTTCTGGTATTAGTGACAACTTCAGGTATCTCCTGTCCTTGACTTCAAGCTCATGCTGGAAATTTACAGCTATACTAGCCAACATTTTTGCATCACAGATCATTCCTCCAGGGACTTACAACATGTTAAAACTTTGTTTGCTGATGAGTCTAGTACAGACAAATGATAGAAACAAGGAAGTTGAAGATTACGTGGACATTTTAATTGTAACAAGTGATACATTACTTGTAGACAGGTAAATGCATTATGTGTTTTTAAAATTATAGTCTGAGATATTAAAAATATTAGTAAATTTTTTCACTAAGCATTAATATAGAATAACCTTAAATTATTTGAATATGAAAACATTTGAAATCCTTTTTTAGTGACAGAGAAAGTTGTTTAATTTTTTAAAATGAAGCTAAGATATAAGAAATGGTAAGTGACAGAACTGAGATTCATACTTAGGCCTACTGTCTTCACATCTAGAGCTGCTTTCACTGACATTCTTTCTCCCTAGTGCTATGACATCAGGTAAAGGAGAAATTACCTCTTTTTATCCCTCTGAGTCAGTCAAGTCAACCATAATCCAAATTTTTTTTTGATATGCAAACTTTTGTATTCATATAGGATATGACAAAAGTACAAGAACAATATTTTCTAAAAGACTTATCATTCAATGAATATAACTGCCAAAAACAATATGAATGAAACTTTTTTCCCCTAGGCTTTTGAACTTCTGTGTATGTCTTGTGCCTCGAGGTATACGTCATCCAACATCTAGTGAAATTTTTCCCACTCTGTCCAGAGATAAATATGGAACTGGAGTTGCTAGCATTCAAGCTTGCAGTGCCTTGCTAGCCAAAGATGGCATCTGCTACATAGGAGACTTGTCATCACACAAAAAAGATAAACTCGAATTGCTTCAATCTGGTAGGTCAATATTTTTTTAAGTAGTTGTTTCTTGGTCAACTTACACATTCAAATTCAGGGTCCAATAGAGATATGGGATTTAAAGAACTGAAACAAGTTCTAAATTTTATGAATCCAAGTTATGGAATCATGTTCTTATGTAAGCAGGACTCCAAAGAGCTGATCTCCTAATATACTGTGGAAACCCTTAGTACTCAGAAGTGTTAACAGAGAAGTCAGATTAGGATATTGTACTAAAAATGAAAACTATTGTATAGTTCAAAATTGATCTGTTAAGGTTAGTGCTGTGTGAAATGGAAAAGTATTCTGTAGGTTAGCTGGCCCTTTAAATTTCAGATCTCTTGTAGATTCAGATAGTTTAGAGCCAGAATTGCTCCCACTTCTTTCCTGTTAGGATGAAAAAGGATCATTATCCTGAGTAAGATTCCACTTTGAAAGCCCAATTTTATTTAAAAGAAAACTACTAATTACCTGGTTCAAATCCAAATTCCACCATTAACTAGTTGTGTGATTTTTTTTAGTAAGTCACAACTTCTTCATGCATCAGTTTTTTAATTGGCAAAAGAGGTTGATCTATGATGTCCTTTCCAATTGTAAAATTCATGATTCTATGTGCTATTTTTTTTTTACTTTAAAGTTGTGCTGATACCTTTTGATTTTTTTTTCTCTTCACTGATCATTTCCCGGGATATTCTCTCCACCTTTCTCTACCCTATTGAACCTTTCCTAGTAACAGAGGAAAGCAGTTAAGTAGAACTGACAAAATAATAGCATTGGCAACATCCCATACTCATAGTTCCTTGGCTCTCTACCAAGTGAAAAGAAGTGTGATCTCTGAAACCAAGACTAGGCATTGCAATTCATCTGAGATTAGCTGCCTTTTAGGATTGTTTTTGTTCATATTACTGTAATTGTTGTATATATTGCTCTTCTGGTTCTGTTTATTTCCCTCTTCATTCATTTATAAATGTCTTTCTGTGTTTCTCCGAATTCATATGTTTCAATACATTCCTATACCTTATTTTGTCTTAGAGGTTATAAAATTGTTTTCAGGTTTACCAACAGCATATTAGTATTGTGTTCTTTGTTTTAGAAGGGGTTGTTTTATGTTACTGGTTTATTCTTTACTAGAGCCTCTTATAAATGCCCCAAAGAGGTAGAAGACAAAAAGAAAGGTCCCATATATAGTCAGATATTCCAAGCAGCACTTTTTGTGGTAGTGAAAACCTGAAAACAAAATAGATGTTCATCAGTTGAGGAATGGCTTAACATTGTAGTACATGAATGCAATGGAGTATTACTGCACCTTAGGAAAAGATGAATTTGAAGGATTCAGAGAAGAATAGGAAGATTTATGTAACTTGAAGCAAAGTAAGCAGAACTAAGAAAACATCTGATAGTTATCTAAAAGAGATTTTCTTATCCTTTCTTAGAGAAAGAATATTTAGGTCAGGGAAAGGATATGCAGCAAGATTACAGCATTGATTCAGTAGTCGTTCAATGCTTATACTGCTGTTTTGCCAGTCAGAAGCCTGAGGGAGGATCTACATGAAAACTCATGCCATTTTTTTGTATTAAAGACACCAGGAAGTTATGTCAATGACCTGAGGTTTTATCCTCTCCTCACCTCCAGTGAATTAAGTCTCAAGAATGGTTTCTATATCCTTTAAGGAACTAATTTAGTCTACTTTGGGCAAGATCTTAGGATATTGCTACCACCACATTATAAATATTTGTTGTTATTTAGTCATTTTTCAGTTGTGTTTGACTCCTTGTGACCCCATTTGGAGTCTTCTTGGCAAAGATGCTAGAGTGGTTTGCTATTTCCTTCTCCAACTCATTTCACAGATGAGGAAACTGAGGTAAACCAGGTTAAAGTGACTTACCCAGGGTCACACAGCTAATAAGCGTCTGAGGCCACATTTGAGCCTGGATCTTTCTGACTTGCAGGCCCAGTGCTCTATCCACTGTGCCACCTAGCTGCCCTGCTGATATTACTCTATGTGATTATTTTAGGTTAAAACAGTTTTTTGTGTAATGCTACAACACAGAATACATTAAGTTATCTTCATGATTCCCTGGATATTTATAAAACAAGATATAGAAGGTTATCTCAAGGACCATCAGTAGTAGGGTCAGCTGTAAAAGTTATTTCAACTTCAAGAAAAACAAACTTTTAAGTTTCCGTTATTACAACTTCTAAAAAGAACCGTTTTAAATCTTAAAGGAAAGGTCTAATTTCCTCCTCACACTCTGCCTGCACACACACTTTAATTGGGAAAGTTTGAGGCCTGTTCAATTTACTCCCAAGGAAAATAACAGCAAGTAGTAGGATTATTCTCCTTCCCCCTCCTCTATGCACAGATAGGTACAATTTCACATAGATTCTCACGATGATAGGAGAGGAAACATTTCCCAGACAATTGACAGATTTTTAAAAGCTTGGCAAAGCATTCAAATAAGCAAATTAATTCCAAGGGTATTCAGAGACAAAGATAGAAGGAAGGCAACAATTGGAATAAAAATGGAAAAGATGTGTAAAAATTTTTATGACAAACTACTTTCTCTATCAAGAATAATGGATTCAATACCACAGTCCTAGATGTGCTTATAGGGGAGTAGAAATGTCACTAAAGAGAACAATGATGGGAAAGATTAGACTGAGTGTATATAAAGGAGATCTGTATTTGACAGCAACACAAATGTGAGCATGCTGAAGGATTGATATACAAGGTATTTGAAGGAGAGGTCGATATCAAAAGCATGGAACAAAATCTCAGAGGGAAGATAATAGGGTAATAGGAGAGCCAATGGTACTTATTGAATGGAGGGGGAAGAAGTGACATGATCAGACCTTTGCTTTAGGAAGATCAATTTGACAGCTGAATGGATGTTGGACTGGAATAAGAAGAAGCTTGATACAGGGAGACTAGGTAGCAGACTATTGCAATAGGCCAGGCGTGAGGTAATGAGGACCTGCACTGGAGCTGTAGCAGTACCGAGAGAGAAAGGAGTGTTTATGAAAGATGCTATGAAAAGTTAAATCAACAGCACTTGTCAACTGATTGTATGTAGGAGGGGTAAAGAAGACTGAGGAATCAAAGGCTGACTATGTTGTCACCCTAGGTAATTGGAAGGATGGTGACACCCTCAACAGTAATGGGGAAGTTTGTAAGAGGGCAAAGTTGTGGAGAAAGATCATGAGTTCAGCCAGAGACTTGGGGGACACTTGTGATTAATGAGCTTAGTTAGAGAAAGAAATTGCACCAAGTGAACTATGAGAGAAAATGTCATAAAAACATAAAGAGCTGAGGGAGTCAAGAAGATGGTGATTGATAGTGGTAAAGACTGCAGAGATATCAAGATGGAAGATGAATGAGAAAAGGCTATTAGATTCAGTAATTAAGAGAACACTGGTAATTTTGAAGAGAGCAGTTTCAGTTGAATGATGCTATCAGAAGCCACCCTATAGAGAGTTAAAAAGAGAGTGAGGGGAAAGGAAGTAGAACATTGATTGCAGACTCCTACTTAAGGAGTATGGCCTTAGCAGAGAACAAGCAGGCTTTTGGAAGCAATATTCAACAATGAACCATGTCTTTATCATTTCACTATTGCCTGAGAGATATAGAGAATATAAGATATTCTCTATGTTTGTTGATTATAAAAGAGCATTTGATTCATTAGAGCAAAGCTCTATCTTATAGACTTTTTCTTTTTTCCTTCACTTTCTTTTTTAATCTTTTTTATTATCTTGAACCTGATGTCATTAATAAACATTTTCTTATATAAAGAACAGAAAAAGGATTGTATATGACAATGTCAATCTCTTTTACTTACAACTTGTTTTTTTAAAGTATATATGAATTTTATCATAGTTCTCACACAACTGTGCTTGTCTATGTTCCCTTCTAAACTTCCTACCCTTTACTGTGTATTTTTGTTAATGTTTCATTGACGCTCCTTTTCTTTTTTATCACTATCACTAACTCCAATATTCCCACACATAACTAACTCCCCCAAAAGGAGCCCTTTTCTATAACAACAGTTTCTAAAGAATTAAAAATGAAAATCACACAGCAGGCAATGAAAAGGTACGTGGCGGGTATGAGCAGGCTGCAATAACCACTAAGGAACTTAAAGGATAGAAGTTAAAGATATCACCAAGGAACTGTAGGATAGGAAGAGCAAATGGACTTGTCATGTGGCAAGGGCAAGGGATGACAGATGAACAACAGTACTTTCAAAATACCGGAAGTGAGAAAGACCTGCAGCACACACTGATTGGACCCTGTGTGGCAAACTTATGTGGGAACATGGACAAGAGTCACACAGCATAGGCAAGTGTGTGTGGGTCAGTCACAGATCCATTTAAATATTTGAGAGATTATACTTGTTCCATGATTTGGGAGAATATTGATCTAAAATGATAGAAATCAAATTTGTCCTCAAACAAAAGATGACAAAAGGTACTGCCTTCCCTTCTTTACAGAGGTTAGGGACTGTGAATGTGCAACATACTGACACTGTCAGACTCAGTCTGACATGTTAGTTTTACTAAGCTACTTTTTTTTTCTTCTCTTTTTTAATTTTTTGGTACAAGGGATGTCATTGGGGAGGGAAAAGGAAAGAAATTCTTTTCAGAAATGAAGGTAATGTTGAAAACAAAAAAATATAAATAATAATTTAAACTTGGGATTTTTTTTCCTTTTGGGAGGGCAACACTACCCCGCCCCTCCCAACCTCCTAGCTGGGAAGAAAAAAAACCAGAAAAAACAAAACCTTTGTAACAAATATGCATACTCAAACTCTAGTGTGATTTCATTAGTGTGTGTGTTCCTTCTACTGATGCAGATCTTAGTCCCTGGCTACTCCTTAAAAGGGTAGCTTCATGAGTTGTTGTGGTTAAAAATACTGTTTATTACTTGGTAGTCAACCCTCTGGTAACTTTTGCAAATTTGGTAATGCTGGTACTTGGATTGCAGAAACACAATCCAAGAACCCACAGTGAGGCATGGGATCAGGGCTTTAGAAGATTAAAGTATTATTATTAAAACACAAATTATTAATATGTCTGGACTCAGTTTTAGAAAGCAGAAGCATTACAGTGTATATTCCTGGAAAGAAGTATGGAGATGGTGATGATCAGCAAGTTACCTTTTCAGTTCAGTCCAGCTTTTGGTCTTTTATTGATGTGGACTCATCCTCAAAGAGACACGTACATAGAAACAGCCCTTTAATTGGTCAAGTGGTGAGTTAACCTTTTTTCTTATAATGCTTTGCAGTGAATTTAGTTATAGATTATAATATATATTTAATCCTTTCAATATAAAATTATTCTACATCTTCAAAGCATTACAGATGAATAATATTAAAATTGGGATTAAAAACAATTTCAGCCGTATCCAGCTATTTTGAACAGGTAGTGAGAGGAACTGTAATGAAGGGTAAGAGATGAGGTATAGACACTAGACCTATGATTTCCCTAGTATGGGTGACTCCCTATGAAGAAACTGCCTTTATCAATGCAGGTCAAAAACTTCCCTGCGAATTATAATCTTCAAGAATTGCCAAGGGATGAGAGGTTAAGTGATTAGTCCAGAGTCACATAGTCAGCATGTATGTTTCAGAAGCAGGAATTATATGCAGGAATTACTGATTTTGAGACCAATTCTCTGTCCACTGTGAAACATTGATTCTTGAAAGATAATACTCAACATTAATAAAGAGTGGAAAGAATCTAATAGAAAATAAAAATTTTTGCACTAGCAAAAGAATTGAATGTGAATAATTGCTGGAAATTAGTTACCTTTAAGGTTAGCCTTAAGCAAAATTGTGAAGAAAGCAAAGTTATTTCGTGCTGTCCTCTTCCATTTTCAGAGCCCCATCCCAGATACTTAATGACTTCATGTTGTTCTCTGCTACTTATGGTCCCTTCAGGAATTATCCAATCTTGACCTGCCATTCTTGGCAATACCCTAGGATTCAGTCCTTCCTCACTACCTACTACCCTACCCCTACACCCAATCAAAATTTATTCATTCTATATTCCATCTCTACCCAATTCTTTGATAAGATAATAATAGTTTTATACTGTTACTATATTATCCCTCCTTGGTAACATAATTAATATAATTTCTGAAGATAGTGCTTTAACCTGGTGTTTCCCAGCCTGTGGTCTGGAATCTGCAAACCTGTGTATTCACTAAGCTTTGACATTTTGATCTTTATATTGCTCTAACAAAACATGTTATGACTCAATAAAATAAAGACACTTTCTGTGGACTGAGTAAAGCATCTCATAATCTATGTATGAATGTTTTTCAAATGTGTCAATGCTAAAATATAAATTCATTTTTAAAGTGTTGCTGAATTCTGAGCAGCTTTTTGTTTTTCTCAATAGACAGATATTGATAGTACAATTACAATTATCTGAGAGTGTACCTGAACATATTTTTATGAGAAAAAGGGGCTTCATAACAAAGGAAGAAAAGTTGGGTTGCTTTATCACAAATGTGTGTTTCTAATGGTGAGATTTTTAGGCAGGCTAATGGAGTGGGGATGGTGGAGGGCATGTTGAAGGGAGATGCTATTTCGGGGAAGGACAGTCTTTGGGGGTCTCCCAAATCACACTACAATTATTGCTGCCAATTTAACTTATTCATAGGGCTTGACCTTATGCTTGTTGAAATTCTAATATTTATGTGTAAGGCAACTTTAACACTTAATAGTCAATACTCTCAAAAATTCCTTTTTACATAAGCTTATCTTCTTAATAGAAAAGTTAGACCAATTAAATACATTAATGCTACTATACTGCAGATATGTAGGAAGCATGGAATAGTAGATAGAAGGATGGCCTTGGAGCAAGCAGTGCTGGGTTCAAGCCCTGCCTCTGACACATGGTAGCTGTGTGACCATGAGCAAATCATTAATGGCTCTCATTTATGTAAGGCTTTAATATTTGCAAAGTTATTTGCATTATGTGTGTTATTTGATCTTCACAACAACCTTGTAAGGTAGGTGCCATTGTTAGCTCCATTTTACAGATGAGAAAACTGAAGTTGAGAGCAAACTATGTCTTGCCGAGGGTTACACAGTGTCTGAGGCAGGATTTTAACTCAGGTGTTCCTGACTCCACATCTAACGCAACAACCACTATGCCACATTCATGGGAAGAATTTCTATAAAGGGAATTCCTTATAATTATGAAATCACAAGGCCAGTCTAAAACCTGAAAATATAATTTAGATTTTAGTAGTGACATGGTATATTTCTAATTATATGATTTGCAAATTGAGAAAATCTTGAACTCTCCTTTTTGCTTATTATTTGACATAGGATTTCAGTTTGATTCCAGTTAACCTCATGGATGCATTTGGACTGTTGATTTATTGTAATGAATCATCTCCTTGCCACCCAATTCTTCCTTCTGTTCAACACAGTTTAAAAAAAGCCATTGATCCTGAAAAGGTGCTTTATGAAGCTTCTAAAAAGTTTACAGAACAAGATTATGAAAAGGTAACTGAATAAATGGACTGTATAGAAGACCTCCCCACAATGACCCTCAGATTTTAAAACTGGGCTTTCTTTAAAGATTTATTTCTCATCATTTAGACTCTCCCTGCCCTTCTTTATTCTAACATGTATTTCATTAATTTTAAGTGCTTGGTATAGAACCCATTTCCCAATCTCTTGTTTTTAGTATGAGAATATTAATGTATTCTCTGCAATTAATGTAATAATATTATCTGTATCAGATAAATATTGACATTTTCAGGGGTGGGTTTTTGCAAGTCTATTGATTTTTAAAACTATAAAGCACCTAATCAGCATAACTTTGATGGTGTTTAAAAAAAATAAAAACAGAATAAAATGTCAGAAAACACAATCTCTATATGATTGTTTTCCATTCTGATTCTAGGGAATGTCTAGCTTTTTACAGGTCTACAAAGCTTGACAAATCTAACTGCTGGACAAATAATCTATATATTTATAAACAAAGACATGAAAATTATTTTTCAAAAATTATTAGCATTGCAGAAATTTTATTTGATTAGTGAAACAAGTAATTATTAAAACCAGTTTTCTAAAAACCTTGCTTCATACTCTACTATGATGAAAATAAACTTGATATGCTTAGAGAAGGTATTTTTGTTTTGAGAGGGGAATTGATATGAATATGATAATGATATTTGTAGCTTCTGAAAGGGTTGGAGATTTCACTATTAAGTTATTTTGATAGAAAATATTTCCATATTGGGATAAGAAATCTGGCCAGGGTATAGGTGGACCTTGTTTAGGTTCTGTGAAATATTGCTTTTGGCAAAATGTTACAGGAAATAATATCATATGAACAAAGGCATGGATGCAGAAATGAGCATGTCAAGTGAATTGTGAGCCTACCTGACTAAACTGACATTGTCACACACTGACAAGTCAATAGCTAGGTAGGACGAGTCTGTGAAAGATTGCTAAAGCCAGGCAAACAAATTTAGACTTGATATTAGGGATTGTTTCATTTTTGTATTCACAGCACCTAGCCTAGAACTTGGAATAGAATGAATACTTACAGTGTTAGGTGGGTTATCCCTATATGGGCTATTTATCAGGACTATGACATAATAAAAGTGGTGTTTTGGGAAAATCAGGCTGGCAGCAGCATGCAAGATAATTTGAAAGAGAGATATTAGCTAGGAGGCAGTTATGGTAATTCAGGTGTGAAGTTAGGAAGGCCAGAGGTTGTCATAAGATTTCTGTATTTGTCCTTTGTTCTTGAAGAGGACTATGACACCAGGGAGATGACATGACTTGCAATTAACTTTGATTTGAGTGAGGGAGGGCTGTGCAAGATCACCAGCCTCACTTTCTCCTCCAGAACCATCTGGGTCCAGTGACCAGATATTCATCAGGACTACTAGAGAAGGCCCAGGATGCAATGGGAGACCTTGGCCTTTTTAAGCTAAGGTCTTTTCAGGTTCTCACTTTGAGTGAGGTAACACCCATTCAATGAATAGGCCTCTTTCAGAAGTGAGTCAAGGGATGACCCCTTTAACAATAATAATAATAATAAAATCAAACTGGGAGGGGAAGACCCTTAAGAATTACTGGCCAAAAGAGAAAGTTACTATTTACATTTACTCTGAGCGAAGAGGGCCTAAAAAAATTAACCATGAAGTGGTGCTCAGGCAGGGACCTAGGAGTGAATTGGGTTTAAGGCCTGGCCATAAGATCATGGAATTGGAAGGGACCTTAGAGACCATTTAGTCTAACCCCCCTCATTTTTCAGATGAGGTAACTGAGGCCCAGAGAAGTTAAGTAACTTGCCCAAGGTCATATAGGCATAAAGTGGCAGATCTGGAATTTGAACTCAGGTTCTTTGATTCCCAACCCAAGGCTCTTTCTATTGTACCACACCAATAAGAAGTAAGATTGATGAGGAAAATGACTTATCAGATTCCAAATCAAATTCTCTTTCTTTGTACTACATCACACTGCCATTCTTCATTTTATTGAAATTAAACAGCAAACAAAATGCTCAGTGATTTCATACCACCTCTAGGAATTAATTTAAATTGTGTAAATGAATATTTGTTAGAAATAACTACTTTGGATTTTATACAATTTATAAAGCTTCAATCTTTTTAACTGTTTTTAAATTTTAGCTAATTGCTTTTGCAAAGAATCTGCATGTAGAGATCAGTTTGGAGGCAGAAAAAATGATTCATGGCTATTACCTAGCAAGTCGCAGAATCAGGACAGATTCTATACATGGATCGAAGCTATCAGCATCAGCACTAAAATGTTTGTAGGTATTTAATTTTCATATTTTAAAGTCTTGATTTTAGTAGGTATCTTATGTCACATACTAAAATGTTAAAAGATCTCTCACAATGGTAGATTCATCTAAAAGGCTTTACAAAAGGACAGTTAAAAACTATACAGGAATGAAAAGGCCTAGAGAAGTTGAAATCTATGTCAAGGAAAGGAGAACCCACATGGAAGAAAAAACAGATCCACTGAAATATATTCTAAAGTCATCTCCATTTTTGAGTTCTTCAGCTAAATACAATTCAACTGAAAAGTGCAGAGAATATAAAATCCTGCTGTTATTATTTGTTGATTATAATTTTGACAGTGAACAAAGTGCAGATTTAAAGGCTCCCCTTTAAAAAGATTTCTCCTGTGCATATAAGACCATATAAGGTTTCTTGATGAATGCAACTACAAATATAACTGTCCAACAGCTTCCTGTTATTAATGTTAATTATGCCACAAAATAAAGGAAAGGAATCTGCCACTATCCTAAAGGATGTCCACTGCAGGGTTCAAATGAAAGAGGCATTCCCAATTGTGGAGGCCTTCCACAAGCTCCTTTTTTGCAGATATTGTGCTAATTTCATCATGCCCCAGAACAGTTCCATGACAATTCCAAAGAGACCAGACTAACGATCCATATAGGGAAAAATAACTGGATAAAAAATGCCTTTTCTCCAGACTAAGGCAATTGGAAGCTAGTACTTTTTTTTTTTTAGGCAATTGGGGTTAAGTGACTTGCCCAGGGTCACACAGCTAGAAAAGTGTCAAGCGTTTGGTCTGAGGCCAAATTTGAACTCAGGTCCTCCTGACTTCAGGTCCAAATAAGCTGCCTCCAGTAGTACATATATCTGTCACTTTTGAATAATATATAGAGTTTTAAGATGTTTTCTCAAGTTCAATAGGCCTCTTATAGTGTTTTCTCACTTCATTTGTAAACTTTCTAGGAATTTTCAAATGTTCAACTGGCATAGATCATTCATTTTAATATAAAAATCATTGTCAATTCTCTAAGAATTATTAACAGTTCTCTTGAATTACTTTTATCACTTCATTTCATTTTGAAATATGGAAATAGGAAAATTAATATGACATTGAAACACCATTTTATTTCAATTATAGAGTACTTGAAATTGAAAATGACTTGTAATATGAATAATACTGGAAACAGTAACAATCATACATATCACACAAAAACAAAATGTTTTAGTATGGTTGAACCCACGATACTTAATATTTTCAAATGATAGAGGAAATAATACTTCTTCAATCAGAGAATATTAAAGTAGGAAGAGAACTTACAATATTTAGTTCAACTTCATCATTTTAAATGTGAGTAAAATGAAGTCCAGAGAGTAAAGTGATTTGCCCAAAGTATCAAACCACAGCTAGTTAGTGGCAGATCTGGTACTAGAATCTAGGTCTCTTCTTTCTGAGTATTCTTCCTACTTTAGCTTGCAAATACTGAGACATCCATATCTCTTCATAACGTATTTTTCTTTAAAGTAGAAAAGTATTTTGAATTAAAAATATCAGAGCCTCAATTTACATATTACCATATTGATTTAAATAAAACACAATTGATTTTACTGTGATGATTCACACTGGTTCACATTATAGTTAGAGAATCAAATGATGAGTAATTAGTATAGGCCCTGGAATTTTTCTGCCAAACTCTCCCATCCCCCACATATACACATACAGAATTACAAATTTAAAAACTCTTTTTGCTCTACTAGGGAGGAACTTGACAACTCTTGCACTACTGAGACTGAGATAGATCTTCACATTTGTAGAAAACTGGAAGGAGAGTTTAAGGCTGGATCTGTAAGAAGCACTTCCAGAAAAGTTTTTCCTTATTGTAAAGATGTTAAAGATATATCAAATAAAAAAATCTTGTTCATTGACAGCTAATTAAGGAGAGCCAAGATGGTGGAGTAGAGAAGCAACTCAGATGACCTCTCCCAAATTCCTTTCCAAACAAATCTAAAATAACACTTCAAATTGAATTCCAGAATGGCAGAACCAGTGAAAGTCAGGTGAAACAATTTTCCAACCTGAGACAACTTAGGAGGTTGTTAAGAAAGGTCTGCCTCACTGAGGTGCTGATTGAGCTTGGAGTGGCAGCACAGAACAAGCAGCACAGGCCATGCCAAGGTACCAGCAGTGGGCCTTGGGAGAACTCTCAGCCCACAGACAATGTGGATAGGGGTGGGGTTGAACATCTGGCTGGAAGGAGACTGAAGGAAATCCTTTGCTGGCATAGTCCCAAGGCCAAAAAGAGTACTAGTATCTGCAGCCACAGGGAAGAAGGGGCTCTGGTCTCGGTTCCAGGGAAAAGATGAGTGCTTGTGGTTACTCACAGACAGAAAGGAGGATTAGCAATTGCAGCTGCAGGAGAGTAGGGGACCTGGGCACAGACCTAGGGCCAGGAAGAGTGTAGGTGGCTACAGGGAAACAAGATCTTTTCCTGGGTTAAGACCAGCACACAGGCCAGGAAAGCAGTGACTATTCCTCTCTCTAGATCATTCCACCTTACAAGCATTGAAAACCTACAGACCCCCAGAACTTGCTCTGAAAATAGCAGCAGAAAAGGCTTGAAGTTTGGGACACTGCCCCCTCCACCCTAGAAGCAGAGCTCAACTTTAACATAAAGTTAAAAATCAAGAAATAGACTGGGAAAATGAGCAAACAACTAAAAAAGAACCTGATCATAAAAGTTATTGTAGTGAAAAGAAAGACCAAGGCACAAATTCAGAAGACCACAAAGTCAAAATAGCTACATGCAAAGCCTCAAAGAAAAATGTGAATTGGGTTTTCTAGGCAAAGATACTGGAATGGTTTGCCATTTCCTTCTCCAGCTTATTTTATAGATGAGGAAACTGAGGCAAACAAGGGTTACAGAGCTAGTCAGTGTCTGAGGCCAAATATGAACTCAGGAAGCTGACTCTGTGAATTGGTCACAGGTTTAAAGAGAATCCTAGAAGAGTTCTAAAAGAATTTTTAAAAACATAAGAGAGGGGCATCTAGGTGGCGCAGTGGATAGAGCACCAGCTCTGAAGTAGGAGGACCTGAGTTCAAATCCAACCTCGGACCAAACACTCAACACTTACTAGCTGTGTGACCCTGGGCAAGTCACTTAACCCCACTGCCTAAAATAAATAAATAAAAAATAAATAAAAACATAAGAGAGATAGAGGAAAAACTGGGGGAAGGGGGAATAGGAGTGATGCAAGAAAATTATGAAAAAAGAGTTAACAGCTTGGTAAAAGAGACACAAAAAACATACTGAAAAATAACACCTTAAAAAGCTGAATAGGTTGGAACAGAGCCAACATGGCAGAAAAAAGGCAGGGACTCCTCCGAGTCTCCACAACTCCCCTCCAAACAGCTTTAAATAATGCCTCAAAACAAATTCTACAGCGGCAGAACCCACAAAAGGAAAGGGTTGAAACAATGGTCCAGCCAAATTCCAGACCCACCAGGTCAAGTAGAAAACATTGTAAACAGCCAGAAAGAAACAATTCAATTAACATGGCTACAGTCAGGCTCACACAAGATTTAGCAGCTTCCAGATTAAATGAGCAGAGGGCTCTGAACATGAAATTCCAGAATGCAAAGGAACTAGGATTACAACCAAGAATCACCTACCCAGCAAAACTGAGTATAATCCCTTCAGGGAAAAAAAAATGGATCTTATATGAAATAGAGGACTTTCAAGTATTTCTGATGAAAAGACCAGAGCTGAATAGAAAATTTGACTTTCAAATACAAGACTCAAGAGAAACCTAAAAAGGCAAAGAGAAATCATAAAGGATTAAAATAAGGTTAAACTGTTTACATTCCTACATGGGAAGATGATACCTGTAATTCCTAATAACTTCCTCATTATTAGGGCAGTTAGAAGGAGTATACATAGACCGAGGGCACAGGTGTGAGTTGAATATGATGGGATGATTACCTAAAAAATAAAATAAAATTAAGGGATAAGAAAGATGGATGCACTGGGGAGACAGGGAAAAAGAAGTAGAGTGGTAAATTATCTCACATAAAAGAGGCACAAAAGAACTTTTACAGTGGAGGGGAAGATGGGGGAGGTGGGCAAAAACACATGAACTTTACTCTTATTAGAACTGGCTCAAAGAGGGAGTAACATACACATTCAGTTGGGTATAAAAAGCTATCTTATCCTACAGCAGGCCTGCACATTTGGCTCATAGGTGGCCCCTGAAATATGTAGGGTTGCCACTGCACACTCTCTCCTATTTGTCACATGACCCACAGCAACCAACCATCATCAGTCTGTCTCTATTTTAACCTATCTGTGGCCCATACCTACTGCCAAGTTGTGCAGGTCTGCCCTACAGGAAAGTAGGAGGGGAAGGAGATCAGAAAAAGGGGGAAGGAAGGGCACTGATAGACAGAAGGGTGGATTGCAGGAAGTAGTCATCAGAAGGAAAACACTTGAGAATGGACTGGTTGAAAGGAGAGAGAGAGTAGGATAAACAGGGAGAATGATACAGAGGGAAATACAGCTAGTAATCCTAACTATGAAAAAGTTTTTATAGCAAGTTTCTCTGATAAAGGCCTCATTTCTCAAACATATAGAGAAAAAATAAGAGCCATTCTCCAATTAATAAATGGTCCAGAATATGAACAGGCAGTTTTCTGCCAAAGTTATCAAAGCTATATATAGTCATATGAAAAAATGCTCTAAATCACTTTTGATTAGAGAAATGCAAATTAAAACAACTCTGAGGTACCACCCCTCACCTATCAGATTGGCTAAGATGACAAAAAAGGAAAATGACCAATGTTGGAGGGGATGTGGGAAAATTGAGATACTGGAGTTGTGAACTGATTCAACCATTCTGTAGGGCAATTTGGAAGTCTGCCCAAATGGGCTATAAAACCATGCATACCCTCTGACCCAGTAATACTACTAGGTCTGTAATCCAGAGAGATAAAAAAACAAGAAGGAAAGGGACGTATATGTACAAAAATATTTCTAGCAGCTCTTTTAGTGGTAGCAAAGAATTGGAAATTGAGGGGATGCCTATCAATTAGGGAATGCTGAATAAGTTGTAAAATGTGATTGTGATGGAATACTATTGTTATAAGAAATGACAAGCAAGATGCTCTCAGAAAGACCTGGAAAGACTTATATAAACTGAAGCAAAGGAAATGAGCAGAGCCAGGAGAATGTGGTATATGATAGCAGCAATATTGGACAATGACCAACTGTGAATGACTGAGTTATTCTCTGCAATACTATGATCCAAGGCAATTCCAAAGGACTTATGATGAAAAATGCTATCCATCTTTAGAGAAAAAAGAACTGATGGAGCATGATTGCATATCAAAGCGTACTTTTTTTAAACTCCCTTTTTTTTGGGTCTGTGTTCTTTCACATGATTAATATGAAAAATATATTTTGCATGACTGCACACATATAAACTATATAAAATTGCTTGCCTTCTCAATGAAAGAGAGAGGAAGGGAGGGAAAGAGAATTTGGAACTCAAAATTTTTTTTAAATGAATGTTCAAATTGTTTTTATATGTAATTAGGGAGAAACAAAATATTAAATAAATTCAGTGCCAACAACAGCTTCAAGAGTTTATTGCAGCGTATGGACCAGAATCAGTTATTGCTACAACAAAAAATACAATAGGCCAAACCTTAAAAGATGCTCAAAAATCCAATAAAGAGAACACCTTAAAAAGAATTGGCTAAATGGAAAAAGAGGTACAAAAATTCACTGAAGAAAAGAACTCCTTAAGAAGTAGAATTGAACAAATGAACAAAGAAGTACAAAAGCTCACTGAAGAAAATAATTCCTTAAAAACTAGAACTGAGGAAGTGGAAGTTAATGAAAGCTAATTAGGATGTTTGTTTTAGAAAATTTCCTTCAGGGAAACAAGAAAAGGTTTTGAAATACTAGATCCCACCTAATTGGCAAAAATAATTAAAAATACAAGATAACTATACCTTTTGACTCAAGAATTCTATTTCTGGAAATAAGCCCTAAGAACGCTGCTAAAAGGAAAAAGAGCTGTCTGTTCAAATATATTCAAATATAAAAGATATTCAAAAACATCAAATATATATTATTTGCAATTGCTTTTTTATGAAAAAAGATAACTAAATGGCTACATTATGGTATATTAATATAATGGAGTTCTATAGGATAATTAAGGTTCATAAGGATGAAGAATAAAAAGAAATCTGGAAAGATGAAATGATACAGAATAAAAAAAATCCAGAATACATTAAATAAAACTATGTAAAAAAAAAAAAAAATTAGAAATTTGGTAGGTATAAATAAAGAAAGCTGATAGGGAGTCAAAGCCTGTCAAATTATGTTCGTGTTTGGTGTTTCATTTATTCAATTGTACATAATTTTAAATCTCACTGGTTTGTTGATACCTTAGATTTTTAGAACTGCTTTTGAAATAATGCTAAAAATAAAGCTGGAAAAGGGATTAAAACTATTTTGTCAAGACATACCTGTGTGTTCTGACTTAATCCATCAAAATACTTTGCATTCCTATATATGTTAAAGCATATTGACTCTTGACTAAAATTTTTTTTTCCTCTTAGAGTTTCTTTATCTGAAGCACACGCTAGGCTGAGTTTAAGGAATAAGGTGCTTAAAGAAGATGTGTTAATTGCAGTTTTATTATTTGAAACATCTCTGACACTGAAATATGGTAATCAGTTATTAAAAATTATATACTTTCATGTATTTAAATTTTCCCAGTGGTATAAACTTTTTAAATGCATGCTAAATGTTACATGAAAAAATAAAGCCACAAAATTATAAAGATCTATTACAATTTGAACTTTAATGAGTTTTTTTCTTTCTTATGCAAGTTATTACTATCCGAACACTAAGGTCCTTATTATAAACAAAGTTATATGTTGCTACAAGTCTGTGAATTTGCTTAATGGAACATTTGCATTTTTTAACAATGCACCAGTTCAAGTTAAACAATGGTAGTGAAATAACTAACAGTGCACTTTGTATGCAGAGTAGGCTTCTTATACCCCTTTCTGTGCTCTAAATTATTTGTTATGTGGCTGCAATATTCTTAAAATGATCTAAACTTATTCTTTTCTAATAAAAAATTCAAATAGAATTATGAGTAGATAAGCATTTCATTCTCATAAATTTCTCAGTTCTATAAGGGAAGTATTTTGATAAAAGGTATAGTAGTTCATATTTAATCTGTAGTTGTAATTTGTAAATTGTAGTTTATGTTAAGTGTTTACATGAAGCATACATTTGCCTCTTCAACTCCCACTCATTGCTCCCAGTTTGACCATCACAGGTAAAGCAGAGCAAGTAGAATACTGATCCCATAAGATGGCCATCCTATATTATCTCATTATTAATTTACACTAAAAGTTGTCCCTCAACTCAAAGTAAAGCTTCACTTTAATTTCCTTAGCCATACATTTTTTAGCGTTTCAAGTAGCAAATTGTTTTTTTGGTCCAGACCTGACCTGATTTTACTGGTCTAAGTGAACTCCCTGGAATGAAACCCCCTCAACCAATGGAAATCAGCCTCCATGCATTTTACCAAGCTGCCTCTAATATGGATTAGCTGATTGTTAGCATCATCTATTCAAGATCAAAGGCATTTAGTATATACTTTATAACCTAATCTGTCCCCTCCTCCCCCCCCCACCCCCACCCCCACCCACCCACACACACACACACACACACACACACACACACACACACGTCACACAGCCACAGTTAAAGTTTAGTTAAAAAGGGTATACAGTTAAGCAAATTTACATTTAAGGAGCAGCTTTGTAACTTGAAAATCTCACACTACCATTTCTTTTCTTGATTTAGGGGCTGCTGTATTTTGTATAGCTCCAAATGCAGTGTTTCCATTTGAACTCTGTGGCGAAGAACATTTAGAGCAAAGAGATGTTTATCTAATTCAGTGCCAACAACAGCTTCAAGAGTTTATTGCAGCATATGGACCAGGATCAGTTATTGCTACAAGTGAAGAATAGTCTTGTTTGGTGCAAGTATTTTTGGCTTGTGGACTCTCACTGGGGGAAAATAAACTACAGGGGTACTGTTTATAGTTATAATGAAAAATGTATCATAAAAAAGATTTAACACATGTCCAACTTTGGGAACGAAGTAAAAATTGCATTTCAAACCTCTAAAAATGCAGAGTTGACCAAATCCTAGTTCTAATGAAGGAGACCAAAAGATGGCATGGTATGACAAGAAAATTACAATCGGCAAGACTAGGAATAAACTGTTGCCACACATAACCTTGCAAGAGAAACATTTCTGGATGGTACATCACAGCAGAGAATGAAAGGGATGAAAATACAAAGTTAGTAGTGTTTAATTCTGTGAAATGTTGTAAGGTTTTAAAAGCCACAAGATGGCAACATTTAAATAGTGAAATAATTGTACTTCATATTACATGAATTTCAAATTTACTTTCAAAACTGATGACAGGGCACAAATTCATGAAGCTTAAACTTTACAGAATTTTCAGGCATTACTGTTAGCTGCAGCACCAAACAAATGGATTAATTTCTTAGTTCTAGTTAGAGTCATTTAAAGTCTCCAAAACTATTCAATCTGTAGAGGAACCAGTTAAGATAAAAATGTCATTTTAAAACATACATATAACAAAGCTTAATTTTCACATTTACTAAAAGGACCTTCAAATAACTAATTGACTCTTACAATCTGATTATGGCTCCATTTAGAAAAATTAAGCCAAATTATGGTATCCTTGTTTTTCCCCTTATTTTCTGTGACCCTTGACCTGATATTTCATTGCAGAGAATTCTTCCTGCAGAGATCTTCATGGCTTCAAAGACTAGTTTTCTATGCAGTTATTAATATTCCTACATTCTCTGATTAAAAACAAAACAAAACTGGGCTGCATACTGAACATGCCATACCATTCTTGTTCAGGAATATATAAAACTATTCAGACTTTTAAGTTTGATCTTGAAATGACATGAGACCAGTCACTGTGAATTGTGCTGGCTTTTATGTGATAACTTACTCCAGCTTTGCAAAGTTGTTACACCAATTTATTCCTTTTGTAGTCTGTGCATTTTGTACATTATGTAAACTTTTGTAAATTTAACTTCCAGGTTATTCAATAAAAGATTACTTCTGTATAACTCTCTTAAGGTTTCCTTTTTTTTTTTTTTGGCTACGCAAGGGGGTTAAGTGACTTGCCCACCATCACACAGCTAGTGCTGTGTCTGAGGACAGATTTGAACTCAGGTCCTGACTCCAGGGCCACTGTGCCACCTAGCAGCCCCAAAGTTTCCTTTCTCAGTAATCAGCTAGGGGGCTTCAGGAAACAACTATTTCTTGAAGGCCTGCCTACTGAAGCTTTAGAATAAGTATATTAACATGCAAACTATTTTGAGGTCTTCTACAGAAAATACTAACGTCAAAGTTGACTTTAGTTGAAATAGGCATCACTTACTGGATGTTAAAGTTGCATGCCACACCCAATATGGGAAAGGGAGGAGTAAAAGTAATGAGTCAAGTACAAATGAAATCATCTTGATTTGTAGTCAACTTTCAACTTGCTTCAGAAGTCAGTTCCCACAGAACTGTTAAATAGTAACTAGGTTGCCCAAGTACAACCTGAAATCTCTATCACCCTCCTTTTCATATAGCTCAAATTCTTGAAACAAAATAGTTAATATCTTGCCTTTGAACTACTACACAAAGCATTATAGGGCAAAAAGGAGGCTGTCAAAACATTCAAGTTTTAAGGTGTCAACTCAATTACATGAAGGTGACACAAGAAACAATTTTATGTCCATATAGGAAAGTTTTGTGGAGTCAACATTTGCTCAATTCGAAACACATTTGAGGTATCTGCTACTTGCAACACACTGGGGATAGACATACAACAAATACCAGTCTACAATGAAAACTATTAGGTAGATAAGGGCACATTTATAGTCACTAATATCTCAGAGGATCAAGAAAGGTTTTCCATGAGGTAGCTAGCAACTTAGTAAACCCTTAAAGGAAAGTAAACACCAACTTAAGGAGTATTCTATAGGCAAAGGGTTTAGCCTGCACGAAATGATGGTGAGATAGAACAATCTTTGAGCAACAGACCCTATGATCTGATGGCTGTGTGGATGAATCAGAAAAGATACTACCATGCCACTCTCCTGGTTAAAAGTGTTAAGCCTAAATCAAGGTGTAGCTTAACAGAAGGTGATCATTACATATGCTAAAGTGGAATAGCCCTTCTAAGTCAATAAAAAGGTAAGAAAAGTAGCTCTTGGCTATAATCTCAAAAATTACTATTTGTACAAATTCAAGGCAAACCCTTCAACATCACACAAGTCTAAGCTCTAACCACTGATGTTTAAGAGGCCAAAATTATATCAGTTCTACTAAGATTCACATCTAGAAACAACACCAAAAGGATGTCATATTCATCATAAAAGACTGGAATACTAAAGTAATCAAAAGGAAACAGGGCAGAGACTAAGTTTTGTCAAGACAACTTGCTGGTCATGGCAAATACTCTTCAACAACCCAAAAGGTGACATGGACATACATCACCACATGGTCAATACAGAAGTCAGATCGACTAAATACATTGCAACCAAAGGTGGAGCTCTATACAGCCAATTTAATTAAGACCTGGCTGGACCACAATGTGGCTCAGATCGTGAGCTTCCTATTGCAAAATCACACTTAAAGTACAGAAACTCATCAGGCCAATAGGTATGATTTAATATTCCTTATGAATACAAGTAAAGGTGATGAACACATGTAAGGGATTAGATCTGGTAGTGCCTAAAGAAGTGGCAGGTTCCCAGTAGTTAAAAAAAAAACAAAAAAACACCCCAAAGTAAAGTAACAAGAAAGCAAATAGTAAAGGAGAAAGGTTACTGCTCTGGAGACATCCTAGAGGATGAAATCACATGGGCTGTAGGGAAGCACTGCTAATAAGACTGATAGAGGCAGTGTAATTCCAATTGGACTATTTAAAATCGTAAAAATTGCTATTTAAAGGGTACTCAACATGCCAGCAAACTTGGAAGATAGTGGCCACTGGTTTGGTAAAGATCATTTTATATCCCAATCCTAAAGACAATGCCAAACAATGTTCCAACTGCCAAATGACTGCAGTCATTTCACGTGTTAGCAAGATTATGCTTATAATTTTTAATTTATGGAACAAGCATTTCCCTAACAATACAAAAAGATGATTGCACATGAAACCAAATTCTCTATGTACAACTTTCTATTATTTCTTTTTAATACACAAAACTATTTTGCAAATTCCCTCCCCCACCCAGAGATTGCTACCATTAGATATAAGTATATATACGTATAATTATTCTATACATAATTCTATCCAGTTCTTTCTTTGCGCAGGTTGGTTTTTAAAGAGGCAGAGGAACTAGACAAATACCAAATTGCCAACATTCCCTGGATTATGGAGAAAACCAGAGTTTCAGAAAATCATCTACTTCGGCTTCATTGACCACACTAAAGCTAAAGTCTTTGACTGTGTGGATCATAGCATATGGCAAGCGCTCAAATAAATGGGAGTACCAAATCATCTTATTTGTCCTCCTGAGGAACTATATGTGGGTTAGAACTAAAGTTAGAACTAAACATGGAACTGATCGGTCTATGACTAGTAAAGGACTACAACAAGGCTGTATGCTGTCACTTTATTTAACTTATATGCAGAATACATCAAATGAAATGCCAGACTGGACAAATAAAAAAACCCAGAATCAAGATTTCAGGGACATCAACAATCTCAGATATGCAGACAATACCATAGATGGCAGAAAGTTAAGAATTAAGAAGCCTCTGGATGAGGGTGAAAGAGGAGAGTGTAAAAGCTAGCTTGAGGTTTAACATTAAAAAGACCCTGATGCTAGGAAAGATTAAAGGCAAAAGGAGAAGGGGACAGCAGAGGATGAGATGGAGAGTATCACGAAAGCAACAAACATGACCTTGGACAGTCTTTGGGAAAGTGTAGATAGAAGGGCCTAGTAGCAAGCTATGGTCAAGGAGTCATGAGGAATCAGACATGACTGAAGGACAACAATAGTGTAGCTGACTGAAGATAAAACCAGTTTCTTGGTCTTCTACTTCCCATTGCATCACTGCTGCTACATATGTTCAGTCTGCAGAGGAAATATTAAATTAGCAATGAATTCTGTAGTAGAAATATTTTTTTTCAATTTCAGAACAAATTTGTCATAAAAAGATTCTACAAAGCAGTTTCAAACTGAAAAGGAGGGTATGTCAATTACTATGTTAAAGTAGGGACAGAAGTTACCATAACAGAAGAGTTAGTGCAAATGGAGCATCTTGTCTGAGGAACACCAAGAAGGAAGGTGTTGCTGGATCAGAGTATGTGAAAGGCTATGCTAAACAAAGGATTTATAGCTGATCCTAGGTGACAGGATCCAAGGGAGTTTGAATGGGGACAAGGAGCCACCTAAAGATGGTAACAGTGTCAAGTCTGTTCCCTACACTCTCCCTATGTATTACCTCACCTTCTACCAACCTCCTGCCTCTTAGGCCTCTACCTCAAAGGAACCCTTTCCCTACTTACATCAGGTGGAACCCCCGAGATCAACAAAAATTTCTTAAACAAAAGGGAAAAGACCTAAAAGTTGTTAACTATAGATGTGTGAAACCAACCTACCAGTAAATATGTAATCACACTGGTAAAGAACTGTATCTGGTTATTAAAGGTTTTATGGGCTTATTTTTAAAAAATCTGGGCATGTGGGATATAAGATAAACACTAAAGAGATAGCAGATGGTGTTACTGTTCAAGCTTTTGTTGGGATTAAGATTTAGAAGTCACCAAAATATTCAGTAGGGTAAACAGCAAAAATCTGTCAAAATCATTAAACCAGCCAAGTTCCTTCTTTGAAATATCAATGATTCTATTAATGTTTGACGCTCACCTTCAAAATTACCTTATGAATTCATACAAATATACACCAAAATTATGGAGTGTTGTTGATTCAGATCCCGAATCTATTCACCGGCACAAACCTTCAGAAATATCTGCTAGAATAAAAATTACTTTGGCCAACACTGTACGCTACAACTTTTATAGCCCTTTCTGCTAATTATAAAAACACAGCTTTACCAGTAGTCTTAACACATTGCATGTTTTACATACAAAGTCATCTATTCTTTTTTATAGCGACAAATTCACACAGGTCTATAGCTGAAAATGGACCAGTACAACCTCATTTTATAAATGAGGAAACAAGCCCAGAGATTCAATTTGTTATGTTGTATTTAATTATCCAAAACGCTCATTTAAGTCCATATGCATGAATTAGTAGACATTTATAGTGCTTTAAAGGTTTAAAAGGTTTACAAAGCACCTCAGATATTATTCCATTTTACATTACAAGGATAACTGTATAAGCATTATATCTATTTAAAAGACAGGTAAATCAACTTGTCATTCAAGGCAAGATGTATAGGCATTTTTGTATCTTCAGAAAGTTTAAATGCTTTTCACCTAGAAGTTCAGATTTTCTTATAAATTTTGCATGTTCTAGCTCCTTTTTATACAAAGGAGCCAAAACCAAGGCCAAACCAAGCAGTTTGTGGATCCCTTAGATGCAAAATCAAAAGTGTGAGCAGGGAAATGACACCTATGTACCTTGAGATCACTCTGGCCACTTCAGAAGATAGACTAAAGAGAAATGACTGGTGGTAGGGAGAGACAGATGAGAAGAGCATTGTAACAGTCTTAACTTCAGCTCAAGGAATGAGGATTAAATTGAATTAAATGAATGCTTACACCAGAATGCTCTTGAAGACATAACTGTCTTGATGTGTTATATAGTAATGGCTATGGTGCTCAAAGGCCTGAAGTTCCGTTAATTTACTCTGCTTGTGCAGTCTTGATCTCTCTGGGCTTCAGTCTTCATATTTTTAAGACACCAAAAAGGGGGTGTAGGTGGGGTTTAGACTAGATCAGCTAAGATCCCTTCAAGATCTAAATGAATTGTGGCAAAGTATTTGAAGGGCATGGACATGGATTTGTTTTATTACCTGGCCCCATAGGGCAGAACCAGGAGCGATGGAATTGCAGCAAACTTAGGACCACAGATCAAGAGTGGTAAGAGACCCAAGCCATTTAGTTTGACTTCCTCATTTTACAAATGAGGCCCAGACAAGTCAAATGACTTCCCAATGTTAGAGGGACTAGGTAAGATCTAAACTCCTACTGTATCATCTATATATTGCTTCTCTAAGGCTTGATGTCAGGAAAAACCTTCCTAACAAATAAAAGCTATAAGTAGAATGGGCTGCCCAAAGTAGTAAGGTCCCCTTCATTAGAGGTCCTTGCAGTCAGGTATGGGTTGGAAAACTCAAATTCTGTGTATGTAGTAGGAAACTGATACTACTTGTTAGTACACAGACTTAAATCTGCTTCCTACACCTTCTGGCTACTATATAAAAAATATCCCAAATTAAGAAAAAAAATTCCTGCTGGATTTTTGGCTTACGGTATCTAAACTATTAATCATGGCCTGTTGTCAACAAAAGAAAATTCTGAGTATCTGAAATATGAGAATGTGCAGGCAAATGCAAGACAACTGTAATTACCTGAATAGGTTTAATAGTATTCAGCATTCTTGGTTCAGATACTGGGCAAGATCTCTTCATTTCCTTAAAGAAACAAAGATATTTTACAGTCTGAATTTTCTTGGATTGCTAAATTTACTCTAAGTAATCACATGGCACATCAGATTTCAAATTACTTCAAGGAAGCCCTCAGTTGGGTAAACGGCTTTTTTTAAAAAAAGATCATCATTCTGCCAAATGAATACCTGAAGATTCAGTCTTATTTGTTCCAGAAGTGAGAAGAGCAACTGTACTTTAATTACCTGAATAGGTTTAACAGTATTCAGAAATTGTGGTTCAGACCCCCTGGGCAAGATCTCTTCATTTCCTTAAAGAAAAAAGATTTTTACAGTTTGAATTTTCTTGGATTGATTAGTTTACTCAAAGTAATCATATGGCACACACATCAGATATCAAGTTACTTCAAGGAAGCCCTCAATTGGGTAAACGGCTTTTTTTTTTAAATCATCATTATGCCAAACGAATACCTGAAGACTTAGTCTTATTTGTTCCAGAACTGAAAAATTCTTAGTTTTATACAAACATGCAGGCAAATGCATGACATAACTTTAATTACCTGAACAGGTTTAACAGTATTCAGCATTTTTGGTTCAGATCTCCCCTTGGCAAGATCTCTTCACTTCCTTAAAGAAAAAAAAACAACACCATTTTTAAAGTTTGAATTTTCTTGGATTGATTAGTTTACTCAAAGTAATCATATGGCACACATCAGACACCAAGTTACTTCAAGGAAGCCCTCAGTTGGGTAAACGGCTTTTTGTTTTAAATCATCATTATGCCAAATGAATACCTGAAGATTTAGTCTTACTTGTTCCAGAACTGAAATTCTTAAGTTTTATACAAACATGCAAGCAAATGTATGACTTAACTTTAATTACCTGAATAGGTTTGATAGTATTCAGCATTTCTGGTTCAGATCCTAGGTAAGATCTCTTCATTTCCTTAAAGAAAAAAAAACCTAGCATTTAAAGTTTGAATTTTCTTGGGCTGATGAAAAGTTTACTCCCAGTAATTATATGGCACATCAGATTTAAAGTTACTTCAAAGAAGCCCTCAGTTGGGTAAATGGCTTTTTTTTAAAAAATCATCATTATGCCAATGAATGACAAGATTTAGTCTTATTTGTTCCAAAACTGAGAAATTCTTAGTTTTATAACAGAAAGTGAGTTTCTATGACAAGCAGGAAAAAAATGAACTCTGTTCCAAGTATTGATTTTTCAAGAATAACATGTTCCTAATGAGTACCCAGCTATTGCTTTTCTGTCTGTTTGACAGAGATAAAGGATGAGGTTAAGTTAAAGGTTACATTTACAATGCTGGGTATGTAAACCTCAACGTATGTATAGTGTCATGTCCTATATATATTCAATTTAAGGTCACAATAGGGTATACCTTCCTATGACTAACAAGCAACAAATCTGATGAAACCCAACAGAATTAATTCTAAGCTGCCTTTATGCATGCTCACATGGAGTAAAGGGCGTGGTCAGGGATACTCAAGTCTTCCAAGTCCTAAATAAGGAAAGAAGTCATTTATCATTTGAATTAGAAGCAAACAGCTATTGAAAATGATTTACGAAGACAAGAAGAATTGAGTTCTCAAAGTAATTTTAACATTTTTAAGACATGAAAGGTGGAAAATAACTCCACACAACATCATACTTTGCTAATTAGCAATGCTCCAACTGTGAACACTTGAAATTGACTTGTTTGTGCCCATATTTTATAAAACTTAGGCAGTCTGAAAATGATCAAGATAAATGACACAATCAAATCAATAAGGATTAAGAGCTAATCAGTGCCCAAGACCAACTGTAGATGGCAAATACTTGCAGTATCTTCAGATTTTAGCCTCAAGAAAATTAGTAATTTATGTAGAATCAAAGGCAGCTAGGTGAGAGTTCCTCACACTTACTAGCTGGGAGACCCTGGACAAGTCTCTTCAATTCAGTTTCTTCACATGGAAAATGAGCTGGAGTAGGAAACCACAAACCACGCCAGTATCTTGGCCAAAGAGTGAGGAAGAGTTAAGATTAAGACATGACTGAAAAAATGACTGAATATGTAGAATTCAAGTCAGCTTGCATAATGCTCACCAGTTCTGAAATCTTTTAATTCTGTATTTACTACTGATCCTACTACAACAGACCAACTTGTTATGTGTTTTCCAATTCAAACTGCATTAGATAAAAATGAATTTTACTATAACCATCAATGTCTTTTACTTATGGTACCAAATACAACAGGCTACTGAATAAAAGGCAAAATGAATTAAATCAAGTCTCAGGAACAATTAGGCAATTCAACATTATCTAAACACCAACCACATGCAAGGCCTTGCTCTAGCTCAAGGTGCTGGGGTAAGAAAGCAAAGACTAGCTTTCAATAAGGCCAGATTTACTTGAAGGACAAACTAGGCCTTAACACCGGCGATGCTGCTTGAAGTCACACATGCAAATTATTACATAACTCTTGGGTCAGCTAACATCTGCTCGAGTGTGTATGACTGCCTCCCCATTTGTAAAGTTTAAATTCAAAGTTGCATCCTCTTGTAAGGCAGTGACTACGAGTGCAGCGAAGGCACCTGCCCGATGCAGCAAGCACACAAGGAGCCGTACAGGGGAACGCACAACACGTAGGCACGAGGGCTGACTGTTTGTAATGTGCGCACGCAATATATAACGCACATGTGAATAAAATTAAAACAAGTAAACGTGAATATCTTAAATACGATACAACTTTTATATTAATAAAAATATAAGTTTATCAAGATCACCAGGGGGCCCACGCTCCGGTTAAGCCAGCCCGGGTCCGGGCAGCGGCCCCGGTCCCCCACAAGCGGCAGAAGCCCGCGGGTCAGGGCGGGGAGGGAGCTCGGCCCTTCCTCCCTCGGAGGGCGCCGCCACCGCCGGCCCGAGCCCTCGCCTCGACCGCCCACTCGGGCTGCCCCCACGCCAGGAATAGTACCGAGCTGTTACCCACTTTAGGACTAGAGCTCCCGAAGGGCACAGGCGGGCCCGGGGCCCCCGAGGCTTCCCGGGAGCCCGCAGCACGCGCCGTGACCCGCCGCCCGCACCTCCATGGCGTCCCAGGAACCTCTGCAGCGAGAAAGAAAAACCAGGCCCGCACGCCTGCAGATAAAAAGCCGCGGGGACGAGGGGTCAACCCTTTCCGGTGGCCAGGCTCCGCCTTTTCCGGCCAAAAGAGCCTGTCAGGAAAGCCCTTCTTCGGTATCTAGGCAGGATTGGGTTTGGAAGGGTAACTACGCCAGGCCGGAGCTGAGAACGATAGTCCTGCGCAGGCGCCGAGGTGGAATAGACCGAGAGGCGCGGTCTTTAAATTTCATTTCGGGGTAGAAGTGCGTCCTGGCCTTGGTCCGAGTCGGGGGCCGTTCCTCTGGGGTCTTCCCCTCTGCAGACTCTGGGGCGCCACTGCAGAAGCAATGAACACTGGTCACCCCAGGGGGATCAAGTGACAGGGGTTTGGAAGAGCCAGAGAAAATGAGAAGGGAAGGCTGGAGAAAGAAGAAGGAGCTAGAATGGAGAAAGCTGGGTAATGCACCAGCTGAAGTAGATGAGGAAGGGGAATATGACAGTCCTCATATCATTCAGTACATCTCTGTGCCGTGGTGTATAAATCCACCAAAAAGACCCACACTAGGGGCAGCTAGATGGCTCAGTGAATGGAGCACCGGCTGTGGAGTCAGGAGGACCTCAGTTCAAATTGGGCTTCAGATGCTTGCTGTGTGACCCTGGGCAAGTCAACCCCCTTGCCTCACAAAAAAGTAAATAAATAAAAGACCCACACTAAAGCATCAGAGACCCCAACTTGAGAAACAAAAAGAGTACAGTTATCTAGAAAATGGTGTAAGAGGGGTGTAAAAAAGAATATTGTGACTACAAAATACCTAGAGAGGCCTAGAGACCTAGGTACCTTGGGACCAAATTCACGGGGAACTAAGGTAGCAAATGATGAACATATACAACCTCAGCTTATGTTTGACTATGATTCTAAAAGGGATGGGTGGAAGGACAGCAACTCAGAGGAACATGTGAAGATTGTGGAAGAATATGACAAAGTTAACCTGGCTAAAGGTATATTAAAAGCTCAGAAGCCACAGGAAGAATTAACCTCAGGAAAGTTAATAGAACAAATGAATTCCCCAAAACGTCAGTTGGGAGAAGAAGAACCAAATTTTTAGAGGGAGAGAGACTATAACAGTGAAGATGAGGATGAAGGTGACATTGATATGTCTGAACAAAATTTTGACTCTAAAAGATGAATGACAGTCCAGAATCTCATGATTTGAGAAGATATTGCTAAATACTTGAAAAATTTAGATCCTAGTTCTGCCTACTATGATTCAAAAACAAGACAAGAGGGAGGGTGCAGATACACAGGCAGGTGGGCCCAGGTTGGTAACAGTCTCATCTCTCCAACGTCTCAAGCCAACCCCCATGTCAGGCTGTGGCTGGGCATTGTTTTGCTTTCACTTGGAGGTTTTTTTGGGTGGGGGAGTTGAGAGGTTCAGGAGCAGAGAGAGAGGAAGTACAATATAGTAAAGTAAAGTTAACATAGGTATTTTTTAGAATATGGATTTCTTTCAGAATTCTTTACATAAAGTCAAATTTGCTTGATGAGAATTTATGTAAAGGCATAACTGTAATTGAAGGAAATGATAAGTTTCAGTTAGAGGCTGGAGAAATAAAGATTATTTTTTTCCTTACCCATGTTCACAGATACCCAAATTTATCCACAGACCCCCAATGGGACCTAAGGTTAAAACCCCTGTACAAGGGAATGCAACATATATGAAGATAAGAAAATACACGATAATTTGAGGAAGAAAAAAAATGCAAGCCATTTTGAGGGGAAGAGGAAAAGTTTTGCAAAGCTATCAATACCTAAGCTGAAACATGAAGGAAGGTAAGTTTTTTGAAGAGGCAGAGATGGGAAAGCTATGTAACATTCCAACCATGGAAGACTGTGTCTTCAAAAGCATTCTGGGGATAGGAAATAGGTTTGATTTTTCTGGATCAGAAAGTGCATAAAGGAAAGCAATATAGAATAAGTCTGAAAAAGTCGACTGAAAAGGCCCTTGACAGGTCTTACCAAAGGAGTTTGTATTTTTATCCTATAGCAGAAGAGTGATATGGTTAGAAATCTTAGAAAGTAGCAATAAGTAGCAATTCAGTAGAGGATAGATTAGAGATGGGAGCAATGGGATGGAGGAAAACCAATTTGAAATGGATTGCAGTGGTCTAGCTGAAAGGTAGTGAGTAGGTCTAGACTAGGATGGATGTGGTATGAGTGAGGAGAAAGGAATGAAAGAGTGATGATATGGAAATAGAATTGAGAATACTTGGTAAGTGGAGGGGGTAGTGAGCACCCCCTCAAATTCCACATCATCATATGTATGACTCTTATTTGATCCTCCCAATAACCCTGGGATGTAGGTGCTATTATTATTCCCACTTTACAGATGAGGAAATTGAGGCAAACAGGTTGAGTGACTTCCTCAAAGTCATATAGCTAGTAAGTGCCTGAGGCTAGATTTGAACTTAGGACTTCTGGTGGTACCTTCAACAGAAAGAGGGAAATTGGAAAGAGAGATAAGGGTGCGGTAGAACATAATGAGTTCTGTTTTGATCATTTTGAATTTGAGATGCCTACAGTTGGAGATGAATGAATGAAAAAGCATGTGTTAAGTCTTTATTATGTGCCAGTATAGTGCTAAGTGCAAAAGAAAGTCCCTGCCCTCAAGGAGCTTACAATCTATTGGGAGACACAACGTGCAAACAAATATATACAAAGCAAGCTATAAACAGGATAAATGATAAATAATTAAGAGAGGGAAAGTGGAATTAAGAGGTGTTAGGGAAGGCCTCCTACAGAATGTGAGATTTTAGTTGGGACTTAAAGGAGGCCAGGGAGGTTTCATTTGGGCTGAGCTGAGGCAGATGGCAATTCAAGACTGCTTACAAAGATAACTAAGATGTAGTCTCTTTCTTTAAGGAAGGAATTTTAGTCTAGAGGATGGATATAACAGAAATTTAAAAATAAAGAATCCTATAAAGTTAGCAGCAGAAGACATGCAGGCAGTAATTGCAGAGCCCAAGTTCCATCCTCTGACTCCAAATCCAAATTCTAATATTTTAACTGTCCAAAAAAATAAAAAGTCCTTATGAAATCAGCTTGAAGGGGTAAAAGTGGTGAGGGGTAAAAACCTGGGCAAGAGACAACAGCCAACTTGCAGTGCCAGTGGATGGGACCCTTGACCTGGAACCAGGAAGTCCTGAATTAGAATTTTGTCTCAGTCACTTACTAGCTGTGTGACCATGAGTAAGTCACTACTGTCCCTGGGTCTCAGTTACCTCATCTGCAAATGAGGGGTTTGGACTATTCAGTTCAATTCAATAAACATTTATTACATGCCTACTATGTGCCAAGTACTATGCTAAGTGCTGGGGATACAAAAAGAGGCAAAAAGTCCCTTCCCTCAAGGAGCTTGCAGTCTAATGGAGGAGACATGCAAACAAATATATACAAAACAAGGTATATACTGGATAAAAAGCAATAATTAACAGAGGGAAGGCGCTGGAAGGAAGACAGCAGCAGCCTGTATGGATCCTAAGTGAGAAGCCATACCCGTTGGATAGGGTTTTAAAAGAAAGGGCAGGATGTGGATAAGTGGGTGGGATTTGAAGGAGGGCCTAGATGAATTTTTTATTTATGTTGTTACACTTTAGTGGATTTAGTACACTGTTGGTAGAACTGTGAATTGGTCTTGGCTAAATAAGAACGTGCAGAGTATTAGATCAATTCTGTAACACCAGTTGCATAAATATCCAAGAATACATACCTATAAATTAGAAACAATCATTGGAGAAAGTAATTAAATTGGACTGATTTCACCCACTACAACTTTATGGGGCATAGTATATATGGGCCTTTGATGCTATTCAACAATTCTTAAAAGCAACAGTAAACGGGGCCACATGACCCTGGATCTCAAGGATGAGCCTGCTTGTATTTCATATTACTAAAATCTTGTGACACAGAGTGCTTGGGTACCAAAGATTCATCATGAAAATGGGAGAGAAATTCCAGGGTTAAGAAGATGGGCATAAGCCAAAGGGGAGTGTATAGAAAAGCAATTACGTGTGGCCTCTAGGAGGTACCAATATGTTTCTGTCTTACAGAGGCAGAAAACCCAACTAGAGCAGTAAAATGTTGTGGGACATGGTTTGCTGATCACGTACGTGTGCTTTCCATTTCCAGAGACAAAGGAAGCCCAGGAACCTTTTGAGGGATGTGATAACACCAAGTGTTAGTCCCTCAGTGATATAGCTTTTCTGTTGGCTACTGTTCATGTTCTTAGACATAAAGGGTGACATAAGCAAATTGGGGGAACATAGAAAAAATTGCCTTCAGATCTATGGATAAGGGAAGACTTCATGACCAAACAGAAAGGTTCACAGGAGGTAAAATGGATAATTTTGATTACGTTAAATTGAAAGTTTTTTGTACAAAAAAAACCAATGCTGCCAAAATTAGAAGGAAAACAGGAAATTGGGGGGGGCAGATTTTATAGCAAGTATCTCATTTCTCAAGTATATAGGGAATTGAGCAAAATTTATAAAAATAATAATAGCTGTTCTCTAACTAAGAAATGGTGAAAAGATATGACAAGGCAATTTTCAGAAGAAATCAAAGCTATCAATAGTCATATGAAAAAATATTCTAAATCACTAATAATTAAAGAAATGCAAATTAAAACAACTCTGAGGTAACCTATCACACTCATCAAATTGGCTAAGACAACAAAAAAGGAAAATGACAAATATTGGAGGTCATGTGGGAAAACAGGTACACTAATGTACTGTTAGAGCTGTGAACTAGTCCCACCATTCTAGAAAGCAGTTTGGAGCTCCATTCAAAAAGCTATTAAGCTGTACCTATCCAGTGACATTGCTGCTAGGTCTGCAGTTATTCCTTCCACATCATGGGGGTTAAGGGTGCAGCACCCTCTGCAATCTGGAAAACCTGCATAAAAAATTTTGTGCTCCCCATCATACCAGAGACGAAGTCCAAATTATTATAATATTAAAAGTTAAAATGGGTCAATATTATATAACGCTATACATAGACTTTATGCATT